AAAAGAAAATTAATAGTAGCTATAGTATCTTTTAATAACGAATTCATTAAATTCAAATTCAGATATCTAATGTATTTTAATTCTTTTTATATTATAAAACCTATATCTAGCTTTTCTTTTTCATTATAATAAAAAGTATATATAAACTACTAAAGTATATTATTATTATATTACTACTTATATATATATAAATATATTTATAATGTTTTTAAGCTATATATATTTTAGTCTATAATAGCTCCGGCTTTATAAACTTCTAAAAAAAGGTTACTAAATAGCTTTATAAAGCTCAAGCTAATATTTAGATCTTAATAAGTAATATTATTTCTATAATAATAATTAAGAGTACTTATAATCTATTTTATTTAACTTTCTAGTTTATTTTATTAATATACTTCTCGATTTATTAAACTTTTATAATAATTATTATTAGTAAACTATAATAAAATAATTATAGCCGCAATTCGATTATAAAAATTAGTTATAAACCATAAAATATTCTTTTCTAATTTAATAAAAGATCTTATAATAATAAGAAAATAAGTAAGTCGAGATTATTTTTAAGTTAAATAACTCAAATATAAATTCGCTTTAGTTTAGCTAAGAAAATAAAGCTAGCTCTTATAAAATTTATATATAGTAATTTTATATATTTAATAATAGAAATATTTCTATTTTATATAATATATAAATTTTATTTAAATATTAAACTATATATTAAAAATAATATTTTAGAAAGAAGAGAACTAGTAATATAAAAAAGAATATAAAGAATTCAAATAAAATAAGAAATACTAGAGAAGTAATAAAAAGAAATAATAAATATATAAAAAAAAGCATTATAATAAAAAATATATTAATATAAAATTTAAAATAAATAATAAAGTTATATTTTATATAAAGAATATTTAATAGCTTTATTTTAATATAAAGCTAATAAATAAATATTTTGGCTCTTTTAAAGTTTTAAAAATTATTAAAATATATAAATAAATATATTATTTAGAATTATTACTATAATATTAGATTTATAATATTTATAAATTAATATTATAATAAAACCAGAACTAGTTAAAATTAAAAATAAAATGAAATTTAGAATGAAATTTATTATAGCTTATAAAGAAGGCAAAAAGAAAAAGAAGTATTTTATTTATTAAAAAGGCTATTTACTAGCAAATAATATATAGGAATTATTAAATAATCTAGAAAGTATAGCTCAAGAATTATAAGAATATTTAAATAAAAGTAATATTATAATATTATTAGTTAAATAAAAATATAAAAATAAATGCTTTTATTAGGAAACTATTAAAAAGCCATATATTTATTCTTAAAAAACTATATAAAAAGTATTAAAAAGTTCAAATTTCTATATTTTATAAATACTTTATTTTTATATCTAGTTTTTTTTAATATTATTCTTATTATTCTTATTTTTATTCTTATTTTTAAAAGTGCTTTGTATTATATTAAATTAATAAGAATTACTTAATTTATATCTTAAATTATTAGAGGAATTTATTAGCCTTAAATAGTAGCTTTAATATAAGAAGTATATAAAGCTTAATATATATAAAAAAGAGATAGCTTTTTCTTATTTAAAAGAAGAATAAGAAAGGTACTTAGCTATAATTATAGCTTAAAGAAAGCAGTTTAATTATATTATATATAATTAAAAAAACTTTAAATAATATTAGAATAGAAAATAAAGAAAGAAATCATAATTTATAGAATTATATTTCCTATTTTTAAAGTAATAGCAGTTATATACCGAGCGGTTATTACTTTTAATATAATTAATCTCGGGATTTTTAGTAATATTCTTGAAATATTAAAGATAGTAAAGGCAAATCAATATTATAGAAGTATTAGCTAAATAAAAAGTAATAAACTTATTAATACTAATAAATAGATTTATTTTAATAAATAAAGAAGTAAAAGAAGATATTAAAAAGGCTTAAAGAAGGCTTAAAAAAGAAAGGCAAGATATAAGAAAGAGCTAGATATAATATTATAGTTAAGGGAAAAAAAGTTAGTTAATAGAAAAAAGAGGCCTTTTTATAATATTTTTTCCCCGAATAGTAATTACAAATTTGAAACTAGCTTTATATTAGAAAAGTCTAGAAAATTTCAAAGAATAAATTTATAAATAAATCAGAAGATCGGATTAATTTTTTTAAGCTTTTAAACTAATAAAGTAATAACTAATTTGTAAATAAAGACTAAAATAATATTTATAAACTAATTAGAAGATTAAATAAACTTTATATCTAATAGTATATATTATATTTATATTACCTTTATAAAGAGAAATTACTAGAAGTAATTTATAAATTAATTAGACAGATTTAATAAATTATATTCTTAAATCTATTATTTAATATAATAATAAGGCAAATATATAAAGTTTTTAAGGAGAATCGAGAATTGGGGAAGTTTTAAAGAATATATATAAAGCTATTTATAGTTTTCTAAGGCCTCTTGGAAATAAGGGCCTGGAGAGAAAATTAATATAATAAGTATATATAATAATATAAGGGCAGATATTAGATATTATAGATCTGATTTCCTATTTTGGGTAAAGCTTATATCGGAATTATATGAATTATATGGAATTGCATTTTTTAATTAAGTAAAGGGCTTTAAATACTTGGCTAAGTAGTAGGAAATATATAGAGAGATGCTTCTAGCTTTGAAAAGGGGCATTAATTAGTCTTTTATTGAAATCAACTCTTGGAAATTAGTTATACTTGCAAGTATTACTTATATATTACCCTATAATTACGTGCCTTATAATATTAATAATAAATGAGTTTATTAATTATTTAAAATTATATTATATTATAAAACAAAGAAAACAAGTTAAAATTATAATTTACGATCTTACTTTAGTTATTTTAGAAGTTTTCGAAATTTTCTAAGCACTTTAAAGAAACTACAAATTTTTGGTGTTCCGATAGGGGTATAGGTGGGCTGCGGGGGAGCTGTCAAAGCGCCGAAACACGCTTCACCGCCTAGCTTATCGGTGGAATTAGGGACAGTCGGACCCTGGAATGGACTGTCCCGAGACATATCGCTCATTCAAGTATATAGGCCAGAAAACACGGTTTCGAATTTCCAGGAGGCGTGGTGAGCAACGTTCTGTATGAGTATTCCGATGCATGCGACTGGCAATCGCCATGCGCAAAGCAATTCCAAGATAGACATATGCTGTGTTCCGTTCATCAGATGGCAATAAGTATATTCCCGCAATGAGGCATGCTTGGATACTTGCAAGACTACCCATCGCGATAGCTCTGGGCATGATTATCTGCGCGAGTCGATAAAACACGTGTCCTGGAATCTCGTCTGTTGTGGCATCTGAAAACGAGGAATCTTGCATCTGATTCAAATGCGTGAATTGGCTGGCACCCGCTAACACCACAAGCATTAGGCACACGATGTCGCAGCCAACCCGCGGTTCGGCCGCTGGAGGAGTTGCGTAGAAGCTTTTTGACCAAGTCCTTGAACCACTCACTGTCGAAATAAAAGTAGTTTGTTTCGCAATGTTGATGAAAAATTTCAAACAGTGGAATGGCGACCTCTATCGAAGGAAATTGACCGATCACTTGCTTCAGAATGAAATCTTCCAAGTCTGAAGTACTACTAAAATCACTAGATGGCTGTTTCCCATTAGTATATTTTAAGGCTGGTGTTGATTTAGGAGTCCTTACTAGGTTCTGATGGAAAGGTGGTGAATTGGGGGATGTGTCGCTGCGAGGATCAGTGGCCACGTCGAATTCAGACACTGTGTTGGAGGCAATGTCCAGAAAGCTTGCATCTACAATCTGGCTTGCTGGACCTCCACAACGTTAGATATTCCTCGAAAGCGTAGATGTCAACAAACCATTGTTGTGCTCGGTGCGTCTCCCATCTTCTACAACATTTTCGGACAAGGAGGCAATCTCAGACCTGGTGCTCGATGTCAACATCATGCCTCTCTTGGTGGTCTCATCCAACCAAATCTCACCTATGAATCTCAAGTGGTGGAGTTTTGGGTCTTGTAGTCGCTTCAAGCTTCCCAAATTCGCACTTCTGACCCCTTCGAAGACACACCGCACATGTGTCTCCTCTATAGGAGCTGCATCGTCTTTTGGCAGAGCGACATTGTATACAAGCTTGGGGAGTGCGTTTCCTGAGATCCAATGGAACCTTTGGGCGATTTCGGATGCTTCTGTGGGAAGACATAGATGACTTGCTGTTGACGGCCTTGATGACGTTCACATGGTAGCTCGGGGTCGAGGTCGGGGTTGGTGCATCAAAACATCAATAATCGCACGGTAACTTTAGAAATGATACGCGATCTTCAAGACATCCTTTCATTGCCTTGGTTTTCCAGGCATTATAAAGCAAAAATGCTTGCAGGATACACAAAAAGGAGCAGAAGACGAAATGGGAGGTTCGAGGTTCACGTGATGTTGCTCTCTTTACGGCGTTCTTGCTGTCTTTGCTTGCTTGATCTTAGTGGTTGCTACTTTTATCAGTCATACTGTTGCGGCACTTATATCCTCCCGTTAGTGCACAGTGTTGGGGCTGGAATGGAGGAGCCGCATCCGAGGTTATTGGTTATGGGGAGTGCGTTGATGTGTAATGCTGCTATAGGATTACCTACTTCTGGGTTTCCTAATATGAGTACGTCCTCCCTTTCATTCCTCTTCTCCTTTATATAGTATTAAAATCACTAACAACACACAGCGGCGATTATGATGGAAGATGCACAGGCAACCTACAGGTTAAACATTTCATTAGTAGAGGCATACCGGCTAGTATTATGACGCTGCTTGTTGTTATCTCTGTTATGGATTGATGTTTTTGTCTGGGCTTTAAATTGGCATATACAAGCAGGGGACATAAAGGAGAATAAAGTAGACTGGTGTCGGATATAACTGTATGGTCGTAGGGTTTGAATAAGATGAGTTGAGTAAATGAGATGAGTTTTCAGGTGGGAATCTTGTCGACTGAACCTGAAAGAATTGCGGATTGGGAACTTCTATTCGTCTACGTAGTAGCTATCCGCATAACTATGCTGTCCGGTGTATTTGTAGGTGTCCATGATACCAGAAGCTAAGAGGAGGGTAGAAGACAGTGCTTCGTCCTACATCTAGATACTGTCGTATGTGGCACTGCGATGCGCTTCACGCCCTAAGGCTTGCGAGCATACACCAACACACTGCCTCCAAGTCAGTATCTAAAGAAGCCCAACAGGAGGTGGGGAAACCTACATAGAGTAGTAAGCATGTACCCTATTACTCTCAATCTCCGCGTTAACATCCACCAAATGCCCATCCACCTCCTCACTCGCCATCCCCAACCCTCTCGTCATAATCGCCATACTCATAGCCTGCAGCCCCGTCAACATATCATGCCTCATCCACGCCCCCAACGTCTTATTCTTCCTCCCCATCGCCCACGTCCCAATAGGAAACTGCGTCCTCTTCTCCACCACATCCACAAACCCAATCTCCTCCAAAATCTCCTTATACCTTCTCCCCCTCGTGAGATCTTTCCCGAGTGCTGCACCCCCGGCCATAAGGCGCTGGCTCCATGTCCCGAGAGCGGTGCCGTTACCGCTATCGTCTATGAAACGGAGGGGGAGATCGCAGTCTTGGAGTTCGAGATAGCCGCCTGAGCGGAGTGAGTTGAATGCGTGGGTGAAGACTGTGTGGTGGGATCTGAAACATGTGATGAGAGCGCGGCCGTGGATGTAGTCGAATGGGACGGGGAAGAGCCAGTCGTCTTCTGCGTCGTCAATCTCGAAGCGGCAGTTTGGGGGAAGGCTGTGGAGTGAGGTTTAGTGTGGAATGGAATGGGCTGGGGGTGACGAACTATTCTGGTTGGATGGGACTGAGATCTGTTCCGACTACACTCGTTGTTGGATATGCGTTTGCTGGGATGCTAGTTAGCTTTCAGATATCTAGAGATGGAGAGTGTGGATGTCGGCCTACCGAAATCTATGGCCCAATTTCCTGTTCCAGTGGCGATGTCTAAGACGTTATGTAGGCCTCCTGGCATGTTCTCGATTGGTGCAACATGTAGTTTTCCATCCAAAGCAAGAAGCATGAGATTATGTTGAATATCTGGAAGATATCAGAAACAAGTCTTCCTCAAGTCACAGCATGTATGCTTACCAAGTCTTTCTTGTTCTGACTTTATTCGACGAGTGTCATTAGTTGAATATCACCAGAAAAAGGAGGATCTCCCCTCACCTCGTCATTTGGTAATAGATACTCTACGCTAGTCATTTTCATTTTCTTCACTAACAAGACTAATAATGAAAATACTCACGGCCTTCCTTGAATCTATGATATCTCCTTCCATTCTCTTCGATATAATCATACACACTGGAACGAACTGAAGCCGTTGACGAGCTATTTGTTGTCAATCCATCCTCCAACCTGAAAGGCAAAAGAGTTGATTTACTTACAAGTCCTCCACACCGTCGACTGCAGAATCGGCGTCACTGTTATTATCAACCTACTCCAATCTCAGTTGAATACACTTTCTTGTGGATCGCTAAGCGTATCTTACATCCAACCCATGGACGGGCTCGGGCGGCAACACTGTCACTGATGCACCACCCACACCGCCCGTCGTTTCATTGGGAACGGCTGCGGATACCCTCTCTGCTTCAAACTCACTACCCTTGTCCGTTGTCGCAGGAGGAGTCATGCTGCGCCAAACTGAAGTAATCAAAATACGAATGGGGATCTTTTGTGTAACGCTAATATAATTGAAGAGTAGAGTGTCGTTGGGTGATGTCTAGTTCCGCGCTTATCTGAACGGTTGTTATGAACGCGGGGTACGGAGAAGTCCCAAAGCAGTAAAGTGTCCAATTCGATGCCTTCCATAAATGGAGCGGGGCAGAATGTGGATTGAGTGATGTGTGGCTCGGTTATGATAAAACGCGAAAAAATATTTTAAGACAGTCACGTGTACCTAAGTAAGTAGTATATTAAACTTAGACTTATATGGCGCCTTAAGTTTCTATAAGCTTATTATATGTAGTAAAAGCTTAAATTTTAAGAGTTATTACTAGAGAGAATATAAAATAACAAAAGTTTATATTTTTAATCACGTGCTTCGTAACTCCCACGATATTAAAGATATTAACAATCGGAGAACAGGGAATTAATTACTATAAGCTACACGATAATTCCGATTAATACAATGTATATTAATTAGTATTATAGTAGGCTTTCTTTCATTTTTGTCGTTTCTGGATCGGACCGACTATAGCGAGATTTTCGGGAGCAATGAAGCTCTTATTTCAACGTCGATCTAATGATCTTGTTGCACATCCATTATACTCACCGCTCTTGGAACCTGTAGAGTGTTTCTGTTGGGCGACAGGTCCGCGAGTTGTCGGTTTTACCTGTGGCACGACAAGCTATCTGGCTCGAGGTGACTCGACGAGGTTGAATTAGCAAAAGATATGTTGTTGTTGGCTCGGAATATCTCACAAGTGTGGGCTGCGCCGAGCCTATTGGCTTCTGCTGTGCATTTGATTTTGGTTTTGATTTTTGTGTTCTATTAGTCTTTTTAGCTGCCTAAGGCGCCACACTGCATTTGTTGCTGGTAGTCCAGGTTTGCAGATCCGGTAGCGTTAGATCACGTGGTCTGACAGCTCCACTTTATCTTGCTTGCAGATAACGGCGCCATGCGACATTAACCCTGCTGACAGCTTCCATATTGCTTCTCTCAAGCTTGCTGATTATGGACTGGGCTTATGCCGGTACCGGGAAAAATGATCTTACATCCAAAGCCTCCAAATATACCGGTACCAGGGATTGCGCGCTTTGGCTGGTTCTCTTGGCATAAAAGTCTGGGGAGAAGCTGTTGCCACTGTCAAATCCGGGGTCTGATGAACGAACCATTCAGTGCAATCTTTGAGATAAAAAAGAGCGTAACATGAATAGAGGGAAGTCCCTTTGCATCACTGGAGGAAATATATCAGCGGCACGTGCTTGAATCCTTCACCGTCTCCACTTGACTTCCGTTCCTTTCGTACCCCTTATCCCGTATTCTTTGGAAGTCACCATCCCGGCTGCCCACGTCATCATTTGTCGATTTACCTTGTCAGCCTTGCGCAGAAGCAGTTTGACAGATTCCCGCATCTCTAATTATCCATACCTCCGCCGTCCCAAAAGCTGCAGGCGGACGCTCTCTCGCTGTAATCTTACATTTGTCGTCTAAATGACAAGATCATCCCTATCCAACGAATAAGCAGCGCGGATCCCTCCGCTTCAGTATATCGCGAACCCAAAGTGTAAAAACGCTGGCACAAGCTCGAGATAAGGGGATTCCAGAGGATCCGATGCGGTTTAAGACCCATCAAGCCTTCTTCGCCAAGCCGACTAATGAGCGGCCAAGATTCTCCCCACAAAGCTTGTCCTCCCGCAAGGGCCCCTGCCGACTCCCTGCGCGTCAAGCGGCAGGGACAAGCCATTGATAAGACTCGACGACGACATTGGCCGTGGAAGTCTTCCCAGCAGCCGCCAGCCAACTCCAACCCACGAACCGAGGAACGCCTGCACACGATTCTATGAGCAATGAAGTGGCGCAGATAAGAGCTCTGTTATCCATAGGCTCCGAAGCTCTTGTGGCGTGGCTATGACGCATTGGATTTGGCTCGAAGAACCCCAGGTATTGAGCACGGAGCAGATCGGCTTCCGTTCGACGCACGTTGGGGAGGCCTGGCGCCCCATCCGTGACTTCAGTGCTTCGGTTTCCCAGCGCCCGTCGAGGCTGGCCGAGCGCAAAGGCTATTCAACATCCGGGTCAACGGTCTCTTGGCGGTGGCTGCACGCCGCAGTCAGCACGGCTAAAGAGGACGTCATTTCAATGCTTCAGACGAGAGGACGATTCGACGACAGCTCGAGACGGAACACGAGGGATTTTCGGGTCCCGCCTCCCAATAACAAAATCCGCGCAGGAGCATGTCTGATGTCTCGCCAACGCGAAGCTTCGGAGGGAGGTCACTGCCACGCACTCACCCTGCTACCACAGACGCGGCATCGGATGGGATGGGATGGTTTTAGAAATACTGTACTGTGTCGTGTTACGGATCCGTACACCGCCCCACTCGGGACACGAACTGCTCACTCGCTGAGAGCCCGGGCGTGGGGATGCTACACGACTGCGATCGCTGCACACGGCCTCATGCCCTTGCATGACCATTCGCGCCATCCAATGGCCAAAGGACGACGCCAGGCCGTATCCTTGTTCCCGCACCTGCCTCAACCGGGCCCGGCCCATGTTATGTTCATTCATTATTCAAGGATGGCATGATTCCAATGATGGCCAGAGGCCGACTGAGCTCCAGATAACGGATAAGCCAGCAGAGCTTCTGAAAAGTTAAAAGCTCCCTCGCCCTGCTCCAAAGGTTTTGGAGCTTGATTGATTGCTCTTGCAGGAAAGTCGTCTGTCTCGTTTATTCCTCCGTCCAGAATCTCCTCGATCTCGGGCAGCTGTTCGTTCGCGCTTCCTAGAGGCTGGGCAACAAATCGACACTTCTGAGAGAGTAATTGGATTTAAATCGACAACTTTTCGGTTTTTGCTGGCTATCCCTCGTCATGGCGGCCAATTTCACCACGCCCTGGTTGGACACCGGTGACAATGCGTGGCAGTTGACGGCAGCTTCGCTTGTCGCGCTGCAAAGTGTGCCGGGCCTCGTCGTCCTGTAAGTAACCAAAAACCCTGACTTGAGCCTTTTCTAACAGAAACGTTTTTAGATATGCTGGCATCATGCGCAGTAAATGGGCGATTAATAGCGCGTTCATGGCTTTCTACGGTTTCGCAGCTACGCTCATTACTTGGGTTCTCTGGGCCTACAAGATGGGATTCGGTATATACATGTTACCCTTCGTCGGACGCCCCGGTCCCGTCGTGACCATGGCCCAAGAACTTGAGCAATCCTGCTTGCCATCCGCCGCTCTGTGCCAAAACTTCCCCCTCAGCACCATGGTGTATTTCCAGTTTGTTTTCGCAGCCATCACCATCGTCATCATGGCAGGTGCTTTCCTGGGCCGCATGAACTTCCACGCTTGGATGATCTTCGTCCCGCTCTGGATCACCTTCTCCTACACAATTGGAGCCTACAGTCTTTGGGGCGGTGGATTCCTCTTCCAGCGCGGCGTGATCGATTATTCCGGTGGATATGTCATCCACATATCTTCTGGGACAGCAGGTTTCGTAGGCGCCCACTGGATCGGTCCACGTCTGGCGGCTGATCGCGAAGATTCGCGTCCAAATAACATTCTTTGTGTATTGATCGGAGCAGGCATCCTCTGGATCGGCTGGAACGGTTTCAATGGTGGTGATCCATACGCCGCTTCCGCAGACGCTGGTGCAGCCGTTCTCAACACTAACGTGGCGACCGCCATGTCTCTGCTTTGCTGGACAATCTGCGATATGATCTACTACAAGAAGCCCTCTGTTCTCGGTGCAGTGCAAGGAATGGTCACTGGTCTCGTGGCGATCACTCCCGCAGCTGGTGTTGTTGCCGGGTGGGGAGCAATCTGCATTGGTTTTGCCAGTGGCACCATCCCAGTACGTCCCTGCCAATTCCCCGACCAATTCCCCAGCTCCAGCTAACAGAGAACTTTGCAGTGGCTAAGCATGAACATCATGGGCAAGAAGGTCGCCTACTTCCGCAAAATCGACGACACCCTCGGCGTCTTCCACACCCACATGGTCGCAGGCTTCGTGGGCGGGATGTGCGTCGGCCTCTTCGCGACCGTCGAGGGCTGCGCCGCCTTCGGCCTCACCAACCCCGGCGGCGCCATCGAGGGCAACGGCAAGCAAGTGTACCTCCAGCTCTACGGCGCCCTATTCGTCATCGCATGGAACATGGTCTGGACATCGCTCATTATGTGTTTCATCAAGTACGTGTTGCGCATCCCGTTGCGGATGAGCGAGGCGGAGTTGCTGGCTGGTGATGATGCGATCCACGGCGAGGCGGCGTATGTCCTCGGCCCATGCGAGGCGCATGAGCATTTGCTGGCTGGACACTATATCAAGAGAAGCGAAACGGGACCGGGCGAGTTGGGCATGGGAGGTGCGATTATCGGGCACGATCCGCATGCCGGGGCTGCGCATGAGAAGAGCGCTACTGGGAATGGGACCGGGTCTTCGGAGATCAAGCACGATTGATCTCAAGTATGCTAGCATTACGGAGCTGGGACGAGGCTGCGAAGCTCGATATTTGGGTTGTTCTTGTGAGCCTCTTGATAGGGGATGTTTGTTGAGTATTGCATGAGTTGGGCTGGATGGAGGAGGAAATTGATCTTATCTGATCTGATCTGAAATGATACCATTTTACCGCTTTGAATAATAATTTAAATACATACCCCTAGTTCTAGATAATCATTATCAAAAAACTTAGGATAATGAAAAGTAAAATGCATCTGTTGAAGTACTCTTGCAGTACGATCTCTCATTTAGCCGTAGCGCGATCGCTCCGCTTAGTCAGGCTCTGTCCACCCATATTCTGGGAGAAACCAAAACGAGGCCCCCGAGGGGGGGAGGGCGGGTCGATTAGGGGTGTCGACAACTTGTAATTGGCTACCTAAGCTCTTTAAAAATCTTAAGTTAGATTTTTTAATATAAGTATAAGCTAGTATATTATAAATCTTATATTGTAATCACGTGCTTCCTAACTTATAATAAAGAGATTCCTTAAAATAGTATTTTAATTCAAGGGAATTTATATACTAATTAATTAAGTTTTAATTTTTAAGCCTTATAAAGTTTTATAAATTATAGGCTTATAGGGCTCTTATATTTGGTTTTAGGGACTTTTTCGCTAAATTTCTAGGCTTTCTTGAGCTTACTTTTAGGTTACAAAAGGGGAAATTTTTAACTTCTTTAATTTAAAGAGCTATTACTAATTCAAATTTTATTAATAGTTCGTATTTAAATAGCCCTTAATTAGCGCTATAAGAAAATAAAATAAGCATTAAATTATATTAATTCCTTATAAAATTGAAATAAAATAAAGAAAAAGCCAGAGTTTTGGTGTTCCTGTCCGAGCGCCTCTACTTTGGGTTAGTGGCTAGTTTGCTCCCAATCGACACCCCTAATCGACACCCGGGGGGGGTGTCGTTTTAGTTTTTCCCAATACCATGGCGAACTCATTTGCGCAAATGACTCCGGGAAAGCAAATCTCGACAACTAATATATTCTCTTAGTAGCCTACCCGATTCCCGTAACCGAATTCTCAACTAGAGGTCGAGGCCTCCTAATTCCAGACGAAGACTTGCCGACAATAGCACCCAACATTAACGAACCTTACCTCGACTTCCTTCTCGCCCTCGCCAAACTCCCTAATAACCAAATTCCCAACTGAATCTCCCTCTCCTACGGCGAAAACGAGCAAGAAATTTCCCTCTCCTACGTAACCCAAGTCTATAATCTCTTCGCGTAGCTCGGGGCACGAGGGAAAAGCATCCTCTTCTCTAGCGACGATTTTGGACCAGGAAACTATTGCCTCTCCAAAGACGGCCACAATAAAACGAAATTCCAGCCCAACTTCCCCGCCACCTGTCCCTGGGTAACCTCCGTAGGAGGCATAGCCTTTATTGAGCCCGAACAAGCCGTCTACTTTTCCTCCGGCGGCTTCTCTGACATCTGGCCTAGACCCGCGTATCAAGAATATACCGTCGATGCCTATCTGAGTAAAATCGGGAGCAAGAATAAAGGCTGGTATAATTCTAGGGGGCAAGGATTTCCCGATGTCGTGGCGCAAGCGCTGAATTTCAGGGTAATGAATCAAGGAAGGGATTCTGGGTATGAAGGTACTTCGTGTGCTGCTCCTACGTTTAATGCTATTATCGCGTTGTTGAATTCGGTAAGGATTGATAGCGGGTTGCCGACGTTGGGGTTCCTGAATCCGTGGTTATATGGTGCGGGGAGGTGGGGATTGAATGATGTTACGAGGGGCTGGAGCGAGGGGTGTAATGGGTATTCGAATTTCTTTGATGGAATGAATGGTAGTCCTGTTTTGCTTGGCGCGGGGTGGAATGCGAGTGTGGGGTGGATGCGGTGACGGGGTTGGGGATGCCGGATTTTGGGAGGTTGTTGAGGTTGTCGACGCCTTGGATTCTGAACGATGGTGGAGTGGTTGATCCTGCGTGGGGGATGGTGATACTTTCACCTTCTGTCTCAAATCATAGCTTTTCTAGATTTGGCTTATACTCAGAGATAAGTTCAGCAAGTGTAGACAAGGCTTGAAATACTGAAGTTGGGGGATGGCTTGATATATAAATCTTTTAGGTCAGGGCTGACAGGTTGTCTTCCTAGAACATCACAATTCAAGTTAGCTGTACTGATGTTAAGTTTAGTTTCACAGGCTCGAATGTAGTTCAATATGTCAAAGTATCTGGTACACGGACTTTCAAGTAAAAGATGCAAAAGATGATTGGCTCCTGGGTCGAGTCACGTGTGAGGTGCTTCGCTGGCAAGGCAGTTCATAGGGTTGATTCGAACACAAAATAGATAAGACAGCTCAGCCCCGCCTTAGGGAGGCTGATTCTTCGTCAAGCTTGACTCTTGAAAGAGTTCTGAATTGGATTCCTCTCTACTGGCTCAACCATGCCTCTTGATCCACTCACTGCTTTGTCCGTTGCTGCTTCTGTCATTCAATTCGTCGAATTTAGCAGCCAAATCGTTTCGAAGGCCCGACACATATACCAGTCGCCGCATGGGATCTTACAAGGAAACTATGAGAATGAGACGATCAGTATACGGTTACAAAGCCTAGCTGAAGGGTTGAAGGTCCCTCTGAAGCCCAAAGAGGATACTGCAGTGACCAAGCAAGACCAAGCACTGCAAGACATCTGCATGGAGTGTATTTCTCTGAGCGACGAGTTACTTTTACGACTAGACAAGCTCAAGGTACCTTCGATTGCCCAACAACGAAGATGGAAAAGCTGTCGGCAAGCGCTGAAAAGTGTGTGGTCGAAGAAGAAGTTGGATGCAGCAGCAGCACGCCTATCGCAGCTTCGAAGCGAGTTGGACTCACATGTCCTCTACTATCTCAGGTACGCATGGTCCCAGATTTACGATTGTTCTCTTGTGGGCCATTTATTAATGTATTTACTTTTGTAGATCTGAAATTAGTCTCATTTCTCTTCGTCAAGACGAAGGTTTCAAGACTCTTGGCGAGGATTCTGCGCTTATCGTGGAAATGCTCGTTCAAGACCGCCTGACAAATCGCAACCATATCGCTCATCAGTTTGAGGAATTCAAACTGCATCAGAAAGCAGAGCATGAAAGGACACGAGAATATTTCATCAACGTTGATTTCCAAAAGAGGAGACAGGCTGCTGAAAAAAGCCTCCTGCAAGCTTTGAAGTTTAAAACGATGCGAGATCGGCTGGAATCAATCACAAAAGCGCATAGAAATACCTTCGAATGGATTTTCAAAGATCCGACTGAGTTTGACAAACCCTGGGACAACTTCCAGGAGTGGCTAATATCTGGTCAAGGCCTTTACTGGATTCAAGGCAAAGCCGGTTCAGGGAAGTCAACGCTCATGGAGTTCATCTCAACTCATTCAGACACGACAAGTAACCTCTATAATTGGTCAAAGGGTAAATATTTGAGGGTCGGAACTTTTTTCTTCTGGAATGGTGGAAACCCTGAGCAGCGGTCACAGGCTGGCTTGCTTCGATCCTTACTTTTCCAGGTACTTTCCATTGAGACTTGGCTCATTCCAGATGTCTTTCCGGAAGAATGGGAAGAGTATTTCAGGTCTCCAGACTCAGGATTCTCCGAAGAATGGAAGCTTCCAAGGCTGAAAATATGCTTTGAAAATCTCATTCGCCTTACTGCTAGCAACACAAATCTCCAACGCTCTCGGGGCAGACAGATTTCAAAGACTGTCTGCCCCGTAATATCAACGTAATATAAGGCGGTATAGGGAGGCGTAAGCTTACCCCGCGTACTGTAACCTTATCCACCTAGCTATCGCTTAATCAAGTATAGAATCCATGGTATTATCAAAGCACATCAGCCCCATATGCAACCTGACTCCGTAGGCTCCTATTTCAGGAGTATATCTGCATCTGGCGGTAAGGACAAGCCAGCGATATCGGGAGGATCGTCATAATCGCAAGCTGTCTGCTCCCACTTATTATTATTAATTGGGCTGGACTATTACTAGTATTATTACATACCAATTCTCCATATTTTCCTCTTCCCAGTAACGCTTCACTACTAATAACACTAATATGATTAACGCCGGACTTCGTCGTAAGATTGAAACTGTAATTGAGGCTATTCCCGAAGCCCATCGAGTCGCCCCTGAAGCTAGTTCTATTGTCTCCGATCCAAATTCCGCCTTTGCACACCTCCAGGACTGGGCCTTTACCCAAGGGTATACGTTCGTTATCTCGTCATCGACTGATATTCGGGCTCGATTCCTTTATATCTACTACTCCAAAAAGACTCGTAATTTTAGGAAGCTTGGGGAAGATAAACACTAACGGCTCTGGACAAATATACGTCAGCAGGGTTATAAAGTAAGCTTTTATATAAGCAAACAGAAAAGAAAGAGGGATAATTGGGTATTTGGAACCTTGCAATATACAATTCATACCTATCCACCTGCTCCAGATCCATTTCAGCTAGCTCCGTATATATCTCGTTATCCTAGTCGTCTTGAGGCTATTCGAATTACAACAGCCCATAGAGGCACAATTGGGTATGCGATATCAAAAGAGATCTTGCAAAAGCAGGGCTTAAAGCTTAATACAAAGACGTTTTATAATCTCTGTTATAAAGAGCAAACCACTAATCTTACTAATCAGGAGCAAGCTCGTTTAATCTTCACCATTCTCCAAGACAAAGGCTTCCATATAATCGTCGACGATTTATATATCCACGGCCCCGATAGCTCGAAGCAGGATCGAATTATTCAGGCTATTACTTGGATAAACGCAGAGCAAATTCGTTAAGGCCGTCGCTTTATCTCTCGGCATATTAGTTAATCAGATATAACCTTTAATACGAACGACAAGAGAATGCTTCTTAGCAGTATAGTTAGAATTAATAATACCGGTTCGACGTTTACCTATATACACCTCTTCCATATTAATGAGTCAGCTCGATTCTTCCGCTTTTGCAAGCAGATATAAATAACCTACTTCTTTTACGATTGCCCTGGACCTGCTATCTGATATAGTAATTTTGCTACGGGCTTTACTGCCGCAATAGCTAAATCTGCCGCATTACAAGCTATTAAAGCTCATAGAGCTCTACAGAAGGGGAAGAAGAAGGAAGCTTTTAATAACGAATCAGATAATCCATTTACAGAGTTATTTTCAGAGCCTCTATCTCCTGCTCTTGTCAAAGACTCTAGCACCGGTAATATCAATCACCTCGGCCAACTCGAGCTTTCTATAACTATTTGCAATACAAAAATGATTCTATAGTACTGCAAATGGCATGCCGTTATTGCCATTAAGAAGAAGCTAATTCAAAGAGGATATAAGGGCGTAGTTCGTAATAAAATCATGGATTTGATCTGGAAATAGGTAAAGGCCGATTCTATTAATAAGCTAAATTCGTTACGTACTGCGATTTTGGCAGTTCTCAAACCCTCTGAATAGTTATATTTACTCGATTATTATTAACCCAAAGAGCCCTCCTTTTATTGCACTTATACCTCTTATTATCCAAATCTTGGCTGCCATGCTTTAGTACGAGTAGAGAAGGCTCACGACGTTATTTCTATTAGATTAAGCAAGAACCAGCCTATTAGTCGTACGATTGAGATCATTTGCAAGCGAGCTAAGGCACTCCCACAAGACTACAATAATAAGATCAATAAGGAGCGTCTCTCTGTACCGCAACTGGTTAATCGTGAGTTCTTTAAGCTATACCTCTTTAAAATCACGCATTTTGCCCTGGAGAAGGCTATGGTAGAGTTCGTACAAGCTAAATTACTTCTCGATTTACTAGAGAAAGAGCAGTGCGATTATCTCTTTAATACTGAACATAGGTACCAGGAGAACTACCAATTACCTCTATGATTCGGTATTCCGTATAAATATTAGATGGCATATTTTATATCTCTTAAACAACCCTTACCTTTAATTCTCTTCGATTCCCGCTGGCTCTACGATAGCCCCGAAGTTCTCCATAAATCGTGGGAAATGCGACTTAATAACCCCAACCTTGACGGCATAATCGAAGCTCCAGAAGACAGATATACCGGTAATCGATTTAGGGGCTATAGGGGAGAAATAATACTCAATACGGCAGTTTCTATGGCTGAGAAATACAAGACTCTTCCACCTGAAGATACTGAGCATTTTGCTCTTGCATTTAAGGAGTTAAACAAGAGGCTTGCCGTACGATAAGATGCTTTACTCAAATCGAAAGAAGCTATACTAGCTCGTCTTCCAGACGCCTTAATTCCCCCGAAACTGACATTTATACCGGGCCGTAAAAGAGCACTTACTAGTACGGAGCTTGCTCTCATGGAAGAGGCCGATAAAGCTCGACGACACCGGAAGGAGGAAAGAGAGAAGGAGCTACAAGAGATAGCTAAGTTACTAATAGACGAAGATATTGCAGAGCGGTCGAATATATAGCAGGAATTAATATCGGAGTATTTGGAGCGCCTATAACGTAAGGAAGATAGAGGAGAGGAAGATAATAGGGACAACTTCAATAACGCAACGATTAATCCTACTATTGCCGAAAGCTCAACTTCAATACCCTTACGACAAACGCTACCACCGTTAAAGGTAATACTAGCTTGGGAGGCACTTAGGAATCGCAAGAGATCGCCAAGTCCGCCTACTCCAGATACAGATACCTCTTTTGCCTCGAATTACGATCCCAATTACGTCCCTGAAACGCAGTATCCGGACGTCAGCTTATTCGTTTCCGATAACGATTTTCACTCTGCCTACGAGGGTAATATTAATACCAACCAATTAGCTCGGTCGTTCTCCTCTTCCTTACTATCCTATAACGAATTCATCTCTCAAACCATGGCTATACAAGCTCTAGAACTTGGAATGCCTTCCGAACCTCCTCGATTAGAAACACCCCCACCAAGTCGACCAGTTCGCACGAAAAAGCTCACATCGAAGGCTGAATCGCAGGAGCGTCATAAGGCAGAGATAAAGAAGGCAAAGGAGCAAAAGCAGAGAAGGAAACCGAAGATATCGGAGACTCCTCAATTAATGGATCTTCCAATCAGGAGCCCGTAAAGGTAAGTAAGTATAACCTCGTTTCGATTCAAGTACTAATTATATGCTAATTACAGGCGCTCGACCATTCTTTACCTCTCTCTTTATATTAATTTCCAACGTCAGTTTCCTATATCGATTTCCTACAAACGAACCATATATAAAATGGGGTGAAGGCTAAATAAGGAGAATAGTGGACGATATATTTCCTGTTTCTTAGCATATAATCTAGTTTTACGTCAATTGCAATATACATTTTTATATTGGTGCAGTATTCGTAAAGTAGATTACGGGAAAGTCAATACATGTGGGCTTATCTTGAGATTGCGGGGCTTACCATACTAATTAAGATAGCGAGCAGTGCGGAGCGGCAGAATCGAACTATCCGACGATCGTACGGGGCAGACAGTCTTTCGGATCTGTCTGCCCCGAGAGCGTTGGCACAAATCTCTGCTTTTTTATTGATGGACTCGACGAGTTTGATGGGAACCATGCAGATATGGCGGCATACTTCCAAGACCTTTCGAAGTATTCACATGTCAAATTCTGCCTCTCGAGTCGTCCCTGGCCAGTATTTGAGGATATCTTTGACGGGGTCCCTGGACTCAAGCTACAAGATTTGACTGTTGATGATATCAAGCTTTATTTTCAGGACACACTTGTGAAACACAAGAGAATGGTTGATCTTGCCGAAGAGGAACCCGAAGAAACATCAGCACTTTGCCAAGAAATCATCGACAAAGCTTCCGGTGTGTTTTTGTGGGTGTACCTTGTCATAAGGTCGCTTCTAGAGAGCTTGAGGAACCTTGATGGAATCAGCTATCTAAAACAAAAGCTATCAGAGCTCCCTCCGGAACTCGAACCTCTATACGGCCATATGCTCAACGGTATCGATCCGATCTATAAGAAAGAGTCCTCTAAGATCTTTCAAATATTCAGGGCCTCCATTAGCGATGTCGACGGCGGCCGTAAATTGGATCCTATCGCTCTTGAGGGAGCATTGAATGCAGAATTCATCCAAACGATGAATGCAAGAATACAACCGCAACCTATGACGGAGGAACAGCGTGAAATGCAGCTGAAACGTCACATTCGAATGGTAACGCAACTGAAAAGCCGTACAAAAGGATTACTGGAGATTTGCGAGGTGCAGCATGATGACCAAGACGAGATAGAGGACGAGCCGCAAGAAAAGAGTCGCCAGCTGCCGAAAAAACCCCCTTCAACGGTGGATCAACCCACACCCAGCCACAAAGTCCCAACTCGAGACCTGTTCTTTCTTGAAACCCAACTCTCGCACCACACTCACTCGCCGGAATCGGTCAAGGAATTTCTCAAGATCGTACATGAGTTTGGATATCAGATCTCTCCCAACTCAAGTCATGAGCAAGTGACAAGAGAACTTGCAGGTCCGGAAGTAGCTTTCACTCCTCCGAAAAAAAGATCTACTGGTGATAAGCCAAAACACAACCCAGAGCAGTCACCCATATCATATCTTCACCGCACAGTCAAAGACTATCTGGAACAAAAAGAGATCTGGAAGGGAATTTTGAGTTACGCCGCTGGATCTGACTTTGATCCAACAATTTCTCTGCTTATGTTTTATGTCATGGAGCTCAAGACCACCACTCTAGCCTCGAGGACCGGTAGCATCTATTCAGTCGCGAAACCTGCTCTGGAAGTAGCCTCTCGTTGTACAGTGGCGACCAGCAAAGTGCAAGTCTCCCTCCTGGATGAACTTGATCGAGTCCTGCGCATCTTCTGGGAGAACCACGGCATTGGTGATCGCGACGCAAAATCTCGGGCAGAGAAACATTGGAGCCTTGAGGAGGTCGAAGTCTCTCGTGACCTTCCTCAGATGTGGACTGGCAACTTCCTCGTCGCAGCCATCCAGCACAATTTGGCTTGTTATCTACGAACAAAAATTGCTTCAAATGCTATCTCTGTGAAAGAGAATACTGGACTTCCATTGCTTGCTCATGCTTTCTCCTGGATATGGTGGGGAAAGGTCGGATTTCCAAGGCCATATCCCAACACCATCAAGATGCTTCTCGAATACGGTGCAGACCCAAACGAAGTAGTGGCTGAAGCCACAGTCTGGCAACATGTTCTTCACTACGTTCATGTAGCCTTCGACAGGTGGGTCCCGGATCTAGAAGATGACTGCGTGGAATAGCAAGCGGCTATCAAAGTAATGTTGGAAAATGGTGCGGACCCAAGGGCCTGCTGCCCACATTATTGTCCAGCATATGATATTCGATCACAGAATCGACAATTTCGGCACCTTTTTCAAGGCCAGACGACATCATTGGAACTTAATCCGGGTAATTCTGAGGAGGATCACCTGAAGCAGCACAATGCTTTTCACAGTGTGTCTGCTGTTGTTGATGCTGTTTTTGGGGAACGATTTCCTTCAGGCGCTGCAGAATTACTACACCTTGTGAACAATCTCATTAGTGGAGAACAGGAGAGCACCGCATCACAGAAAGCATCTTTCAAGCGGAAGAGGTGTGAATCTAATAGAAAAACAAGGAAGAGTCTCAGACTCTCAGAGGCAACTTCATCCTTGGATGCTTCGAGTATAGACTTGAGTGGAACTCAAGAGCAGAGATTGTGATTATGTCTTATTTTCTGCTAAAACCGCAGTTTAGGGTATCCTAGGTTTTACTGTTTTGAGATATTGTATAAAACTGCACAAGTCTAAAAATCCTAGTTTATTGTTCTACTTTACCTTATTTTACCGAGACCGATAGCGATCCTCCGTCCAGAATAGCCTCAATGATCATACCCAGTAGCACTCAAGCATACCCAGCGAATCTGAGGCGCGCAACCCATTCCCAAATCAACACCATGCTGCCAAAACCTTTCAGCATTGGTCCCGCTCACTTCGTTGCACTTCGACCAGCAAAGGTGAACATCTCGATCTCACATCCCCGTCAATTCTAATCAAACCCCGCAGGACTTCTTCACTCTCCGTCCAAGTTTACCGCCCTATGTGACCGTCATCCACGTCAATGACGACCGTACTTGCGTGGAAGAAGGGCGGCTAAAGGGCAATATCGCCAAATATGAGGAGCTCGATGATGTGGTCCCCGTCGACTTTCTGAGCGGTGTTATATTCACCCGCTCCCCGAAGACAGAGTTCACACCCGGAGCCTACCAATTGCTCCAATCCCTAGGCACAAAATGGATTGAGGTGGCAGACACTGCACACCCGGCGTCAAGCGCCCCACCAGGGATTTACTACGTGATTGACAAACAATTGCATGATATCTGGAGCATCTATGAGGGCTCTCGTGGTGCTTTTCTTACTGCCTTGTTCCCGGCGTGGATGGGTGACTGCCTCTCTATTTTTGTTCTCATCTTGAAAGTTTGTTGACTTCTAATTTCTCAAATTCGGCCATCACAACTTCACATCGGCGGTAAGAATATGCAGACTATCGTGGTAGCAGTCCCGTCTCGCCTTCTAACGACTGCAACCGCTTCCCAACCACTCGGGGGTTGGAGAGTGGCGGTGAAGGATATTTTTCGAATCGAAGGTGTCAAGACATCTGTCTGCAATCGGGCATCCTATGGGTTATACCCGCCGGCATCTCAAACAGCTGCTTGTATCAAGCTTCTGGAGGAGAAGGGCGCTCGTATTCTAGGAACTACTAAGCTGGCCGCTTTTGCAGCAACAGAGGAGCCGATTGAATGTATTGACTATCAAGCACCGTGAAACCCCAGAGCAGACGGGTATCATTCCCGAGCAGGGAGTAGTAGCGGCGGTGGCGTGGCCGTTGCTTCATATCAGTGGGTGGACATTGCCGTCGGCTCCGACAGTAAGTTTCAATCCTCAGATGCCAATCTTATTCGGCTTGGCTTACACGAGCCGGCAGCTAGTGGGAGCGGTAGAGGTCCCGGTCATTGGAATGGATACTTTGCACACAGGCCTCTCATGAAGTGCTTCCAGTCGAGGGTTACCTTCCTAGCTTTGAGTGAGCTCACCTTCGCTGTCTGCAGACTGACCTTCTAACCGAGTACCGGAAAGGCAATCTGATATGCCTACTTTCTTTAGTAGGACTGTTGAAATATGCAAGGAATTTGCTAAACACTGGTACGTGGACAAATTGCCACATAGTAAGCCCTCGGTCAATATCTGAATAGTCCCTACTTCTCAATATCGCTAACATCACACTCGGCTACCACCTGCGATCATCTGCCCAACGGAGTATATGTCTTTCATTACCAACATGGAGCATCTCAAAGTCATTGAAAATTTCGTTGCTGATCTTGAGAAATCCATGAGGGTAAACACAACAGAGTCTCCTTCAACCGAACTTTGGGATTCCGACCCACCAGAGCATGCTAAAGGGCAGAGTTTGCAGGAGTACATGAAGGATGTAAGTCGATTTTCGAAGAGAGAAGAACACGGGCCTGATAAATGAGAAGGTAGGTCGTAACTTTTTTTTCCATGATGACTATCACAACTTCGATGAGTTCCGGGAAAATTACCAGCGAGTATTCAAGAAGACACCTTACGTGAGCCCGCCAGTTCGCTGGCAATGGTAAGAGCCACCATGACTAATTATCTAAGTTCAAGTGTCTCATTCAATTCTTCCGTAGGAATCTATTGGCTAGAATCACCAAAGAAGAAAGGGGTATCGCTGTCCAGCGATTATCGGTCTACGAGAAGTGGTGTTCAGAAAAGATTCTTCAGATTGGGACACATAATACTATAATCCTGACCCCAATTGAGAACATGACTCCACGATATCGCGATGAGCCACCGGGGTGAGGGTCGGGAGGAATACATTTTATTCCTGACTTTGCTAATGTTTTCAAGGAGATACTTCAATCCTGTTGGGGTGCCGATGCTCTTCGTGGCCCCTATCTTGAAAGCACCCGAGTTTACGGTTCCCAGTAAGCCCGATGCTAGACATATTTCCAGAACTTGTTTCTAACTTTTGGTTTTCTAAGTTGGGGAGATTCCTTTCCTGTTCAAAGTTACGGGCAATGTCGAACAGCGTCCAGTTGCAGTTTCGTTGCTCGGTGCGCCAGGTACTCCCCCAAATAAAGATTCCTGTCAACAAAGTGAGTGAGATTGATGAAATTTGCCACAGGCCGCGACCTTGAGCTCATGGATATAGCTCGCGACTGTCTTGTGCAGGCTGGAAGACCAAATTGCGTCCTTGCTAGTGCCAAACTTTTCCCGTAAGGTCAGCGAATTGTGGCACTGGGGCGAGTAGTGGTAGGACGGTGGAAAATTAAACAGCTTTTGGTGGTGACTATTCAACTTTTCGTTCATTTTGACTAGAAAACAATAAGGTCATCAAAATCCATATCAGTCAGCACCTCAATGACTCTTCTGAAATCCGTTTTTTCCTTCTTCATTTTACGGTTCAGATCCAAAGCCTCATTCAAGGACTTCTTGCTCTTGATACCCTCCCCTACCACATGCTGGGGCAATATTCCCTTCTTGTATAGTGCTCGGGCCTTTTCAGGGTCGTAGAATTCGCGATCACCGTAGATCTTTAGTGCTTGATCAAGTAAGGAACTACTCATGTTAGCGGTTTCCAAAACCTATACAAGACATCGAGGGATCAAAGATAAATTGTCACACATTGCTGCATCGTATTGACCTAGTCGAGTGTAATGGCCAGATGCCTTCACACACTGCTGTCCGATGATGATGGTTTCCTATGGTTGATTTATACTGTTGCAGGCCTCTAAGGTGAAATGCAAAACTCTCCTCAAGTTTCCCTTGTTACCCTTTAACATTGCTATACGCATGGAACAACTTGCCGGTCCTAGGTAGTTTCCACGTAAGACTCTGCTCGGATGCAGAAGAACTGCACTCCTCACATGAAGGATTCTCAGTTATTGATGCCATATGCAGCCTCGCGTGCCGCTAGGATTTCAGCCAATGTCTTGTCTGCCGCTTCAAGACGGCCTTGAAGCCAGTACGAAAAGGCGAGATTGATTATCGGAAAGGACAAGTCGACCTTCTTGAAGTCGCCAAGCTGTTGAAGTGCGTTCATTGAGCGGATAAAGCAGTCCTCGGCTTTGGTCCATTCTTCGTTCATCATGTGTGCGTTTCCAAGCTCGTTCCATGAGACAGCCAGGCGTTTGTCTTTCTTCTGAGGTTTCCCGCCGGAGAAATCTACCATAGCGGTGTTAAAGGTAGAGAAGTGGAGGAGTGCGGCTTCTGGTTGATTGGTCTCCATAGCAATACGTCCCAGGTCATGACTGGTCTCTGCTGACAAGGTCTTGATTGTCTTCAGAAGAGCATCTTTCTAGGGACCGTATCTGTTTCGATAACCTATCCTCTTTATAAGTTCTAAATCAAATCTATAGTATTATCAGTTAAGCATTAAATTAGTACTCAAAATGAAAAAGGCGTGCTACTAAGGTATTATCTAATAACAACAGTAGTTGGCAAAGATGAATACAGCGAATCAAACCTCACTGCTCCATGGTCAAACTGCACACGCCCCCCCAAAAAAGCCTTTCCGGCTCAGCTACTTCCCAATGAAATCTCCCAAGGTCGTCCCATGATAACTCATCACATCATCATCCCTCCCATTCCACCCCTGCCTCGCATATCCATGCCCATCGCCATCGCCATCGCCATCCCTCCTCCTTGGATCCCTCACGCTTCCTCCATGACCGCTTCCACTTTGTCCACTTTGTCCCACCGTAGTGCTCTGTCCTCGACTCCCGCTTGTATTTGCACTTACCACTCCCTCTCGACTTCCCTTCGCACTAAAACTTCGACTCCCGCTAGCACTTAGACCACCTCCTTGGCTTCCACTTGCACTTCTACCTCCACCTCCAGCTCCACCCCAATTTCCACTTCCCCCTCCACTCCCGTCGCCGCCAGGACTTCCACCTGCACTGCCGCCCCCAGCAATAAACCTCAAACCCCCGTCCCTCGCCATCTCAACGATCCTCCCACTCTGACTGCACCACCTCAAAAAGCAATGAAACTGAAACCTACTAACCTCCCAATTCATGCCCCCTCTCTCAACCCCCAAAAACAAAAACCTATACAACATCCTCTCACCAACGCCTTCCCTCCCATGTCCTTTTATCAAAGGAGCAAGAGAGGTGGTTTGGAAAGAAGAGAGGATTTGGTCGAAGTTCGGAGGCGGGGCGGAGATGGGGAGGAGAGGCAGGGAAGAGAGGAGGTTGAAGCCAGAATCGATGCGAAAGAGTTTGGCGGACGTGAAGGCGTCGGCGTATTCGTCGATTCTGAGGTATGCGTCCCTTGTTAGCTTCAGCCTTTTCCTCTCACATCTTTAATTTGTTTTGGGAGGAGAGGGAGTGAATTGGGAAAGCAGAAGACTTACGGGTTCACCAAGACGAAGAATTGACCAACATTACTCCAATAGCTAACACACATCCGCATTCTCTCTTTACTGATCCGATGATCGTTCGGCATCGCTCCATTCAAGAATTTCCGCAAGTCTTCTTCATCCATATTCCGATCTGGATTTTCGCATCCTACCGCACCCCAGTTCTTGCACAGGACATGTTCGAGGCGGTCGATTCCTCGGGGACGGGATAGAGAGGAGGGAGGCACTTTGCGGTAGAGGCCGCGTACTCGGTTTTCTTCGCAGAGCTCCCAGCCGTCGGGGATCACGTTTACTCTGCGCCTGAACTCTGTTATGCGGAAGAGATCACTGGTGTGAGAGCAGTAAACGAGAAAAGCTTCGATGATGCGATGTTCGAGGGGTGTTTTGAGGAGGGAGTTGACGTATTTGATGAACTCGTCTTTGTTCCATGATCGTCTGCTTCCTGTATAGGTTGCAGAGCGGAAAAGGGGGAAGATATCGGGGGATGTGAAGAAGTTGCGGAGGAGTTCGTACCAGGGGTAGTTATTGTCTGTGAATGTGCCGGCTGGCTCACTCGGAGGTTTCTCAAGAATGGACTTTGCTACCGCGAGAGTGATGTTCGAGCCCATTGTCCGTGCCATTTCGAATGGCGAATCTGGGGGCTCCTTCTCAAGGGTTACGTTGAGAACATTTGGTACCATATAGGAGGCGGGGTGGGTTGGATTGGCAATTGGGGTAAAAGCCGGATTAGGTTCGTCTATGATGTTTTGGCAGGCCTCGACCATGGTTCTAAAGTTCCGCGCTTCTTGTGAGGATTTCTCGACCAGGCTTCGAAGTGACTCGTAGACAATTTGTGCGTTTCTTGGACCCATCCGCGCGGCAAAATCAACGAAGAACGGTTCAGTATTGCCTTCATTGGCATCGATTTCCATCCGTATGATAATATTTTCTCTTTTTGTTTGGGAGTAAGAGACCTTGTCGAGCATGGTACCGAGGTCTAGCCCTTGGATAGTCCGATGGATGTGGTGCCGTACGAGATGGTAAACATCCGTGTAAAAAGCGTTCTCGTATTGGGCATCTGCAGGATTGATTTTTGGAGGATGCGTGTAGGTCTCATTGAGACGTCGACGAATCTGGCGGTTTCGTTCATAGATATCTGTGAGAGTCTTCCGCATGAGCACAGATTCCTGATCGCGTAGTTGAAGATCCTTGATCATTGCTTCAAGGTCGATTGCTTCACGTGAGTCGTGGACTTTCCTGTCCCGCCGATCTTCTAAAATTCCCTTGATGCCTGCTTCGTAACCTCTCGGCTTGTTTTCTTGTAGCTCGGAGATTTGGAAATCGGCTTCGGAATCGGCGTCTTTGATTGCGTCTTGAACGACTTTTAATTGCTATTTTAACTCGTGCCCCTTTTGACCTCTTTGCTCAGCTTTGGCATGATCAGAATCCAGGAGGCCTTGAATTTTATCGCGCAGAGTTTCCATATCTCGTCTCGCGTGCTTAAGCCACCATTTGAGCCCCCTGTCCTGAAACCATGAAAGGTTGCTGATGTCGTATGTTGCTGGATAGCTGGAAGCGAGCTTTCTGTTGTCCTTGGCCTCAATGTATACTGTATCCCCCATCTCTTTGACGCGGGCCCAAACCATTCTCATAAGCCTTTTGTTCTCGTCGATCCAAGGAAGGTTTGCCTCTCTCTGCTCCTTCAACTCCTCAATCTGAGGCGCCCACCTCTCATCAAGAAAGTCCGCGGTACTGCCATAGAAATCTCTCATCCTGTCCTTTCCATTCCAAACCATCCGACGGTGCTGATCTACTTGTGCTTGCAATGCAGAGATGTCGTTGTCAAAGCTTCGAACTTTCTCTCTCATCTCGTGCCAAGCTTGCTTGTTCCCCTTCCACCATTCTCGAATGCCGCTTAAGTCATTCATCATTCGGTGAAGCTCATCATCTCGCTTCATGAGCTCCTCCAATTCTTGCTGCTGGAGCTCAGCGTGCCTAAGTTTAGCAGTAGGGGTCTTCGGTGACCAACCACCGGGGACAGAGTCAGGGGATGAAGGTGGCGATGCTAGAAGATGTTGAGACACTTGGTCAAGTTGTGGAGAATTCTCTCCTGATCTGACCCTATTTTGCAATTCAGCATGGCTGTCTCTGATGCTTTCATCCAACGCTGAACCAAGCATCGAAATATCCACTTGGGTCGCGGTGTGCTCGTCGGCGTCATCGATATCTGTTACTCTGGAGGTCCAAGATGCCCCATCCCAATTATCCGCTGTGCTGTGTCCATTTGAAAGAGTATTACTTCTGCCATTCCCGCGAATGGCCTGGTCTCTTCCAGAAATTTGTGGCATAGGACGTGAAATCGCGGAAGGCCTTTTCTGGACTCTGTGACTTCGGCTTGATTGCGACCGCTGGGGTTCCTTGGGAGGCTGCGAAAGTTTTGGTGCCATCCTTAGATGATTTATTGCCGATTAACGCTATGAAAATTATGCTAGAAGATTGTAGGGGCTTCTGGATTGATCAGATGATAATGGGATTGATCCGAGTCGTATGCCTTTGTCCATTGTTGATTTCCGCATTCGGCCTCGCCATGACCGTGGTCGCAACCATCAAAATCTGGATGAGCATTTAGTGATTCTTTGTTTCTAAAATAATCAGCTATCTCTCGAATATTGATCTCGGGTGGGCAAACAACGATGGAGATTGGGATGTAGTCACATATCATGAAATTCTTGTCATTCCCTTCCATCTAAACTTGCGCCTCGTAGCAATGCCAATCCAATCGCAAAACTCCACCAATGCAGCTATCACCTCGAGGAGCCTCTCTATTTCCTAGCATCTTCCTTCAAACTAACAATCCGATTGAGGACAATCTTGTCTTCCGTACTATCCGAGTCCATCGCCTGCAAATTATTAGCGACTTCTCTTCGTCCTGCTTGAATGTTCTTACCATGTATGCAACGCGAGTTGCTTGAAATCTAACGGATTCAGGTCCTCCTTTCCCCAACTCAGACTCGCCTGCAGCTTCAGGCCATGGAGCTCGTCTCTTGACTTCTTCAAACCCAGACTCAATCATCGCATGTGGGAAAATCTCTTCGCTATTGGGATTAATATCGTTCAAAAAGCCGCCTTCGGCATTGTCAGGTTTCTCGCTCTTGAACAAAGCGTTGTGAATTCGGACTTCGACTTTCTTTGATCCTTCGGCAACCCAATGGATATAGGCTTTCGGCTTCTTGCCTTCTTTATCATAGACAGCTCGGACTTCGGTAACCTTGTCGCCGTCTTTCTTGAAAGAGACAGCCTGAATTGGATATGGTACTTGAAGCAGCCCGACCGATTTTCCAGGCGCAAGACGGAAATATTCTTTGCTGTCAATTTCCCTGAAATCGCTTCGCTCAATGTAGACAGTCTTCGTGAATTTGACCTTGTGGCTGCCCATGGTGGGGATCTTTGGCGAGAAAGGAAGTTCGAGTTCCAATTCCTCAGCATCCTCAATGACAACGGGCAACGGATCGAGAACTAACATGAGCCGTGGAACCGTAGTCTCAAGATATCTTCGTACAGTTTGATCGAGTCTCGCCAGTTGTATATTTGTTGGAGCGGTCGTGACACCAAGTTCGTTGACAAACTCAAGAATTGCACCAGGAGGGACACCTCTTCTCTTAATACCGATGAGAGTAAACAGTCTTGGATCGTCCCAGCCTCGAACATAACCTTCATTGACCAGTTTCGCGATCTTCCGTTTCGACAAAATCGTACCCGTGATACTAAGACGTCCATATTCCCGTTGCATTGGTTCGTAGACTTCCAACGTCTTATTCAACCATTCGTACGACACTCTCGATTGGATGAATTCGGTGGTACAGAGGGAGTGTGTGATATTTTCGAAGCTGTCGCAAAGACAATGTGTGAAGTCGTAAGTAGGATAGATTTTCCACTTTGGGCCGGTCCTGTGATGTTCGGCGTCAAGGACTCGGTATGCAGGCAAATCCCACATTTGAGGGTTTCCGTCTTCTATATTTTGCTTCATTCGTAGAAAGGCTTCTTTTGGCTTGTATTTGCCATCTCTCATCGCCCGAAACTCTTCGAGGTTCTTCTCCACGGATTGCTCAGCGTGTTTGCACCGAAATCGAGGTCCTCCTGGTATACCGTCTATTTCTCCTCTTTGGGCCTTAAGCTCCTCGACTAATCCATTGTTAGAACATCATATCAAAAGGATGGAATGGTGTCATACCGCCACAATGGCACACATATGCCTTCTCCTTTTCTATGAGCTCTTCCGCCTTTTGATACAGCTTGTCGAAGTTATCACTGGAATACGTCACGGCCTTTGGCTTGAAGCCCAGCCATTCCACAATCTCCTTGATTGCAGTAAAGTATTTCTCGTCCTCTGCCTCCGGATTGGTGTCATCGAACCGCAGATAGCACTCTCCCCCATGGAACTTTGCAAAACCAAAATTGATAGCAATTGCTTTCGCGTGTCCAATATGTAGATATCCGTTCGGCTCCGGGGGGAATCGAGTAACGACGGGCTTCACAGGTCTCTCCTTGTACACGTCGTCGAGCCACCCTTGGGCGAACATGTTGACTGGTTCTACCGTCTTGGGTTCTTCCACCTTCTTTTGGGTAGCTTTCAGGGCTGAGGTAGTAGCTGGAGCTTCTGCCTTGGCCTTGGCTGTAGCGGCTTTCTTTGCACGCTTCGCCATACGTTTCTTCAGTTCTCCTTTCGAGACCATCTCGCCTGTCTCCTCATCGAGTTGGAGCTTCGCCGCATTTTCTGCGAGTGCGTCCGCCATGATTGCGTTGGTCGATGGAGCGGTAGAGCAGTGGCGAATCTGCGGGTCGATAATTGGTCGTGTGAGTGCTCTTCTCGAAATGGGCTGAGCGTTGTCTGCTTTGTAGTTTCAGATTGATTGTTTGTCGTGTGAGTCAACATAAACATTGGCAGGAGACATAATTTTAGTGCGAGGCTGAAATTCACCCCCTCCAATCGCGCTTACCTAATCCGGCTCTTCTTCTCCACAAATGGCAGCCTTGTCCCGACCTTCATCCTCATCTTCGTTACAGCAATCTCCAAATATCGAGAATCGCATGTTGGGCATCAAAAGAATCATGACGATCGTACCGGTATCAGAGATACCTACAGTATCCCTCCTCTTTCACCTCAAGAAGCTTGTTCCTGCGACTCCCGAACCAGATGCGGAAGTTCCGAAGCCTTCTCAATCATTCAACGATCGCATTGGTCTCATCCGCGGAGATATTACGAAACTTGAAGTTGACGCTATCGTCAATGCCGCCAACGAGTTGTTATTGGGTGGCGGAGGCGTGGATGGAGCTATACACAGAGCCGCGGGGCCTGGTTTGCTGAAGGAATGTCGAACGCTGGATGGTTGTGATACTGGATCTGCCAAGATTACTGGTGCATACGATCTACCTTGCAAGAAGGTCATCCATGCGGTTGGGCCTGTCTACAGCTCGCGTTACAAGAAAGCCTCTGCAGAGGATCTGGCAGGTTGCTATACTACAAGTTTGCAGCTGGCAGCCGCCAATGCGTGCAAGAGCATTGCATTCAGTGCTTTGAGCACAGGTATCTACGGGTATCCGAGCCATGATGCCGCGCATGTTGCCATCAAAGCAGTGAAGGATTTCTTGGAAGGCGAGGATGGCGACAAGTTAGAGAAGGTTGTGTTCTGCACATTTGTTCCCAAGGACGTTGATGCCTACAATTATTGGCTGCCGTAAGTTTCTTGGTAGGCAGCCGAGTGCACTTCTAACGGTTGCAGGCGTTTCTTTCCTTCCACCGAGCCAGAGGCAGAGAGCGATTGGGAGGAGGTCGAAGGAGGAGAGTCTGCTGAGAATGGGCCAGCTCCAGTTGAGGAAGGGGAGGCGATGGAGGTTGAGAAGCCAGCAGAGGAGACGACCGATGTTACTCTTCCTGACGTGCCAACTGCGGAGCCAACAGATGGAGGACCGTCTCCAAAGAAACAAAAGCCAAATGACGAGGAGAAGTTGTAGTAGGATGGATACCAATTTGATCAGCGATGGAGTTTAGGGGTTCTGGATCAGTGGCTGCGCCAATGCGGAGGATATCCAGTCGTGAACTTTGCATAGACTTTTTTTTTTTTTTGGCAATTGAACAGCAGTCTTTGAGAAAAGAAAGTATATGTTGCTTTCAAGAAATTGCCAGAGTATCACCATTTTGCTTGTGACATTTTGTGCGAATCCGTCAGTTTTTCCGACATGAAATCCTGGCCCAGAAAGTTATCAAGCAGCTCCAAAAACTTAACTTAATTAAATTTACGGATATTCAGGTTACATGGGCCTTGGCTAGAACGCATTTTAGGAATCAAATTGTGGTCCTGCTGCGCATCTTCGCACACATCTAAAGATCAACCCCCACCTCGCCAATTCTCGCTCCCCGTACTCTCTCAATATGTCAACGAGCAACGAAAACATCTATAAGGACGATATTGACTTTGCGGCATTAGCTTTAACTGATGCAACATTTGCGAAAGTGTAAGTCTACGTCTCCCCCTCCCCCTCACCATGATCCTCTGTCACCTGACTCACACAAACAATGCCACCAACTCCCCACCATCTCTACCTTTTACGATGGAGCTGACCTCATTTCAGACTCAAGTCAAATGGACAACTCGATTTCAGCAATCCAGAATCAGTCCAGCAGCTCACCAAGTCTTTGCTAAAGCGGGATTTCGGCCTAAATATTTCGCTCCCTCCAGACCGACTTTGTCCACCCGTGAGCACCTTCCCCCCAAACTAAGCTCAAAAGCTGATCATTCAAGGTTCCAAATCGCTTGAATTACATTCTATGGATTCAAAGTATTCTGGATACGACGAATGATTCGTACAAAGATGTCTACGATCCTGAGCGAGAGGTTCTTGGGCTCGATATTGGAACCGGAGCAAGCTGCATCTATCCTCTGCTGGGATGTTCTCAACGTCCGAATTGGAGATTTGCTGGCACTGGTAGGTTACTCAATTTCGCTGTACGATAAATCGAGACTCATTGTACTACAGATATTGATGAGAAGAGTCTCCAATTCGCAGGACAAAATGTCCAGGCAAATGAACTCCAGAATCGGATCAAGCTCCTGCAAACTCGGGCTACCGATCCGTTGCTGCCTCTCGACAAGATGAAGTTGGAGAAGCGAGTTCTACGTAAGCCTTTTGCTGCTCTCCTGCTAATCATATCTCAGTATCGACTTTAGCATGTGCAATCCTCCATTCTACGAGTCCAAAGCAGAGATGCTCACGTCCACTGCATCCAAACAGCGTCAACCATTCACGGCATGCACCGGCTCAGAGAATGAGATGGTCACTCCTGGAGGAGAAGTTGCCTTTGTTTCACGCATGATTGAAGAAAGTCTCGTTCTTCAAGATCGCGTTCAATGGTACACATCAATGCTAGGCAAATTTTCAAGTGTTGCGGTTCTTGTGCAGAAGCTCACAGACAACCGGGTCGGCAACTACGCAGTCACCGAGTTTGTTCAAGGAAGCAAGACGAGAAGGTGGGGCATCGCTTGGAGTTTCGATGATTTGAGGCCGGTGATGAGTGTCGCAAGAGGAGTGAGCAGCCTGCAGAAATCGTTGCTGCCTTTTCCTTCCGAGTACTTAATCGTGGTATGCTCCCTTCCCTGTCATTGAATTATATATATTCACAGTTATAGTCAAGTAATGATCCGATGAAAGCGGGACAACGTGTCAATGAAATCCTGTCTCAGCTGCATTTGCAATGGATGTGGAAAGCGAGTATCTCCACAGGAGTAGGTTTCAGCGAGAGAGCGGTCTGGTCGCGCGCATCCCGACGGCAAGTGGCGAAGAAACAAGGAGAAGCCATGGAGGAAGACGACGATCCGGAGATGGCTTTTGGGTTCAAGATACACGTGGTTGCGGCCAGAGGTGGCGAGTCCGGATCAAGGGTCACAATTCGATGGCTGAAGGGCCACGATGCCGTGCTTTTTGAAAGTTTTTGCGGAATGGTGAAGAGAAAACAGGAAGAACCGATAAATAAATAATTATGTCAGAATGAAGGACTGAGATGTGATGAGAAGTTGTTTCTCGCCCACTTTTTGGCGCTAGACAGGGAGCCCTTGAAACCGCCCAGCACTCAGCCTCGCCCTGTCACCCCACTCATCAGCAACTTTCAAGCGCCCAATAACGCAGGTATCACGGGCATAACCTTTCATCTCGTCGACGGCTGAACTCTATTTCGGATTCAAATTCATCTCACGAACCAGGTGTTCGCTGGATAAGCTTTTGTCTTTGATTCTGTTCTTATCGGACTTACGACTTTTTACATCCGGCGAGCCTCACGTCGTATTTCGATCTACTTCAAACATCTCGAGGATTCAACCAACCTCGAGCTTTGACAAAGGACACCTCGTGCAACGCGATTTCTATCCAGACATCGAGAAGTTCATCTCCAGAACACCATTCACAATCACTGGCATTGAAATCCTATCAAGAAAGGTGACTAGTGCCCAAATCCAATACCCTTGAGTCGTTCAACTGCTAACAGCTCTGTCCCACAGATCGAACTGCATCAAACCCATCAAGATGGCCAAACTCGAAGAAATCCACGGCGACTCCGAACCCCCGGAGCCAATCCTGACATCCGTCGTTGACGAGTCGCCCTCCGAACAAGCACCAACACCCAGTATCCCTTTCCAACTCCGCCCCAAGCTCACCCCACACCCCTCCCTCCTCAAGCTACGCGATGCCCTCATCCACCCACACAAATTCTCCGTTCCTATGTTCCCGAAATTCCCCCTCCTACCCGTCGAGATCCGTCTGCAGATCTGGGAAGCGGTCATGGTGCCTCGAGTCCACGAACTCCATCCCTGCGCAAAGCTCTACAACGACCGCATGACCTTCCGTTCCAACGCCAGCCGCACCCCATCTATCTTCCACGCCTGCCATGAATCGCGAGATGTCGCTCTCCAACACCACCAATTGATGGAGTACGAGCCGCCTCGAAGTGGGACAAGTGGGAAGGGAGTCTTGCGGTTCTATTTCAACCCGGTTCTTGATACGCTGCTCTTGAATAGCTTGATGGGGTTGTTCATCATGTTTATGCTGCTGGAGGATGAGGAAGATTATGTGGGTGTGGGCGTGATGAAGGGCTGGCAGAGAGTGGCGTTTGATGCGGAGCGTGCTCAGCTTATTTCTCTGCTATCGGGCATTGCGGGACATGCGCCACAGCCGCGGTTCAAGGAGGTGTTCCCTTCACTTAAGGAGCTTATCATTGCGTTCGATTATACGAGCAAGGGGAAGACGAGGTTCAGGACTTCGGTGTGGCCCGGGGAGAATGGAACCAGTTTGAGGGAATTGACGCTCCCGCCGCAACTGGAGACTGGTATCTTTGAGACGATCTTCAAACCGATGAGGGAGTATTTGGAGCATGACTATGCAGAGGCACCAAAGATTGGGGTTGCGAAGGTTAAAAGGAAGGCGTTTATTAGGGGGGACATTCGATATGGGTTCCGGAAGACGTGCTCGTTCCTTGGATTGAGGCCGAGAGGTGTATTCAGGAGGTTGTGATTCGAGGTGCTTAGATTACAGGGCATTTGCTGGAAGAAGATATACCAGGCTTGCATTTGGCTTGGGCATAGTAGGGAGATACCTTAAGGAGCTACTTGGCATAATGGAGGAGCTGACTGGGTGGCCAAATCTCTTCAAGGAGACTGCATGGATCGGTCTCACTCACGACTTTATGATAGATAATGTACATGATTACTGGCACACACTCTTCCATATGTGGGAAGTTTAAAAGAACAGAAAGCGTTGATTGAACCTATATATTCATTTTTGAACCAATGCGAATGACCCATCAAATTATTTTCGGCCTTAAAACCCCGGTTATGCTCAACACAACTCACATAAACCATGCTAGAAGAATATCATATACTCCACTTGATCAGCGCTTCTCCCTCATCTGTCAAGGGCCCTCCAACAGGGACCTAACAAAGCCATTTCCTGCCAGGGAATTCGAGCACACAATCCATATACCATAACATCTACCACTTCGCCTCCTTCCTGTCCAAAAACCCCTTCAGAATCGCAATGATCCTCTCCAGCGCAGCTAACCAAGTCTTCAACTCCTCCTGCACCTTCTCCTCATCCCCCTCCCCGGAAAGCTTCGCGTAAAAGTCCTTGCGGTACGGACACGCGCTCATCGCGGCGCTGAAGATGGGCTTCACCATGAAGCTGTGATGTGGTTTCAGAGTAGTGCCGTACGCGGCGCGGAAGGAGGTCGAGAGTTCTTCGGAGGCGGCGGCCAGATTTTGGGATAGGGCGATGGAGGTGAAGTCTAGTCCTCTGTGCACGGAAAGATTAGAGGGGGTTGGGGAAGGATGGGGGAGGGAGGGGAAAGGGAGGAGACCTACCGGACAAGCCACACGAGCCCTTCAGTCGCGGTGTGCTTTTTTGTTTTCAGCTCGTTGAGCACGAGGTCTTGCAGCGTTGCGGATTCAGCGGGTGCCGCGAGTTGTCTGTCTCTTATTTTCTGGTGTCGTTGAGTCAATTGTTGGGAGCTGAGGGGGAGGGAGTGGCTACCTTGACGTTGCCCAGCATATCGCTCTTCACGGGCGTGAATGCCACTGATCCTAGCACATCTGCCACAATTGTTAAAGTTAGTGGAGGAGATGGGGGTGAAGGTAATACCGAAAAGGGTAGTCAATGACTCGGCGGCTTCGAGAAACTCGGTCGTAGAGATGGCATTGTCTTTCTCCTTGTCGACGGGGACATCTGCGAAAGATTTCTTGAACGTGTCGAGGAAGGTTCCTCCAGGAGGGTATGCGTTTGTGCTCGCCATGGTTTGTGAGGATTCAATTGTAGAGAGGAGGAGAGTTGCTGTGCAGTAATGAAGTTGGCAGTCCGTTCGAGACATTGGGAGCTTGGAGTGTGGGGCATGGAAGGGGGTTACTTAAAGCGGCAAGAATAGCTGCTAAAGCGGCATGTGATGAAGAGGGGGTACAAGGGTCAAGGATGAGCAACTCCTTTTCCTCGTCGTCTGCCATCCTCAAACTTTCATTATCCATCTTCAAGTGTAATTAGCGCGCCAAGTTGGATCTCCCGAATGCCAAATTCAAGGACTTCATTTACTATCATTCCTAATAGAAAAACTAGAAGATTCCGAGTAGCACGGCTGTTCTTTAGACGTTCTCGACGTGCAACTCGTGTCTTCAGACTCGAAAGAGAACATCGAAAGCATTAACATCCACTAGCATCTCCACAATCTCATGATAACAATTTTCAGAGCCAAAATTCCTTCACACAGCACCCTTCACACCTTCTCGCCGTGCCCCACAACCGGTCCTTTCTCCCCGATCTCTTCAACCCTCTCAACCGGGCCATCCCCTCCCTGATGAATCTCCTTCTCAACCGCCATCGTAGCCCTCTCAGCAGTTGCTTCATCCTCAAACACTGCTTCTGTCAGCACTCTAAACCTCAATCACCACACGTCAACGCAGAACTTACAGAATGCCAATTCTTCCAGTGTTCGGCCCTGCGTCTCGGGGTAGAAGAAATAGATAGTCAAGATCTCGCAGCAGATCATGGCGATGTACTGGACGTTTGGAATCAGTTCTTGTCATTTCCATGAACGAAGAATTGAGAGCATTTACCATGAAGAGGAATTTCCATTTTGCGGCGCCCATGCCGATTGGGTTAATAAAAGTGGTGAAGAAACCGGCACCGCGGACGAAGAACCTGTGATTCCCGGATTTAGTTTCCGATTCAAGATGGTTTTTGGCAGTTTTAAGCATTGCCACGGTGGGTAAGGGAGCACTTACTGCTCAATTGCGATACCTCGCGATCTTTCAGCATAGGGGAAGATCTCGACCATGTACGCTGGAAGTCTTGTCAGTATCTGGATCCACCTCAGGGCAGGAATCAGACTTACTATACGCAAGTGCGTTGTTTCCAATATTGTACCACTATAATGGCACGAGTCAGCGCTTACAAGACTGGGAGCAGCTAGACTACGAGGCTTCCTTGAGAGATTTCGGGGGTGGAGATTAATGGAGAGGGAGAATCGCGCGAGGTATTCAGCGCAAATGGTTGCTCACCGGACTATAGAAATAAATGAAGAATAGAACAGCGATTCCAGCAGCCTTGTTAGTAGTCCCTGCGTCCAGTGCCTTGACTGCATATCGCACAGCAACTAGCCATGCAACATAGACGCCAAGCATACCGACTGCACCAGTGAGAAACATGGTTCGACGTTTGAACCGCGGCGAGATGATGGCAATGGCCGTTCCGTTAACGAAGCTCCCTAGAGAGCGGGCAGTTAGCAAGAGCTTTCAACGATTGCTGAGGAGGAATGATATATCTTGGGTGAAGGCTTCGAGAAGGAGGGAGAGGGAATGGATTGCTCATACAGGCAGTGTTCCCGAGGTTGATCATGGTTTTGGTGTAAGTATCGGTGTATCCAATCATGACCAGAATCGATCCCAGGTAGAAGCTTCTTGTTGTTAACCAAGCTTGAGAGTTGGGTCGGTCTTGGTACTTACGAGATTAAAGTGTTGCCAGACCATTGGGTGTACAGACCCATGGCTGCGGCGAGGAATGCTATGGAGAGGGAAGTCAGTATTTGTCAAAGAATCAGGAGGCCGGTGCAAAGAATCCGTTTGCTTCTTGGTTACATACATCGGCGACGCATTCCACTAAATAGGAGGTCAGTCGGAATCCAAATTATAGCGGCGTTTTGGGGAAGATGATTCGGGAGCTTTTGATATCTCGGAGAGAGTGTGCAAAAAAAAAAAACGACTCAGCAATACTTACGGGGTTCTAACCATATCCATCCACGAGAGCTTGCTTGCTTCGAGCTCGATCTTAATAGTAGTCTCAATCTGGACCATCTCTGCTTTAACGAAAAGGGAATCTCGGTCACCTTCGGCATGGTAGTGACAAAGGATATCGAATGCTTCTTCCCGTCTGTCCTTGCTGATGAGATATCGAGGACTCTCTGGAAGGAAGCTATGGGTTGTCGTTAACTTTGATTTTGACATAGAGGGAGGACAACTCACAATACTAGAGCGATCTGGACTAAGGATGGGCAAGCCTGGAGTAGGGATGGGAGGCGCCATGACCAATCGCTTGGGATCTTCGCCGTCTCAACGACTATTCCGGCTGCTATGAGAGAGCCCACAAACCAAGAGGCATTAAACATAGACGTCAGGATTGGACGTTCCTTGGGGTAAGAGAGTTCTCCTAGCATGGCAGAACCCGACACAATACAAAAGACAATTCCAAACCCAAGGATCATTCGAGCGACGATGTACATGCCAGCTTTGGGATTTCGTCAGCACTGGATATCGTCTTCTACAGGTATAGTAACTCACAGTTTTGAGAGAAGCATTGAAGGACGGCTCCCACGCATTGAAAGCAACTACCTATGAAGATCGACCATCTGCGACCAACTTTTTGAGCGACCCATGGAACAATTGGAACAGCGAGAATGGCGCCGAGATTATAGGATGCGCTGATGATTCCAAGAAGAGAGCCTGTAACATTCCAGACGACTTTGCCCTTCACAAGAGAAGAGGTATTGCCAAAGTCTGTACTGGTCAGCACGAGAGGGAACAATGGCAAAGAAGAAATACGATGACTGACATTTGTTCCACTTCGGAATGAATTGAAGGCCGTTGATCATCTGAGAATCAAAGCCAGAAGTGATTTCGATTCCCATGCAGGTTGGGTAGAGTAGAAGGTACAAGAGCCTTAGATTACGCTTCTTCCACCATTTCACCTTGTCTTCCTCGACAATTCGTGTCAAGACTGGGTCAGCCTCATGGCCCAGGTCGATGAGACCCATTTTGGCAACTCGGCACGTGTACTGAAAGGATTGGGGAGATTCGGAGAAGCCAGAAAGGTTTTGCGAATATCTTGAAATGTAAGAAGTTGAAATGGCTCAGGAAGCAATGAGATTTTGTGGTTGCCGACTTGGCTCGTAATATAAAGGACATCACTTAAGGTGTGGGGTGTTCATTAGCCCTGCAATGATGGACCATGCCATGTCCAAAAGAACTCAACATCAGAGAGGGGATAGACATCCATGCAAGATCTCCGCAATGGCAAAGTCTTGGCTTCCCCGAATCCTCAGAACACCTTGTTCACATTTTCCCAATATGCACATAGCCTGGTCGACCTTGTTCGACCATGTGGATGGGCTTGCTTTTGATTGGATAGTCAAGCAAACAGAATGCGAGAACATGGCGAAACGATCGTGTATGCAGCGCTCTCTGGTTCCAGTAGCCGGTTCAAAGGCCGAGGATGAATGCATTCCCCGGATCCTCGCGTCCCAACGCGGTCTAAACGTGACCCGGAGCGTCAGGGTCCGCAGTTGGGAAGCAAAACACTCGATGGCGGGGTGCTGAATGCCCGGGGTAAATTTGGGTATTTGGGGCTGTCATTCGTGCATAATATGTGATCAGACCAAGAAGATGACAGCCAAGGCGGAGAGCTGGACCGAGAAGAATTGTGGGAGCGGCCAAAGGCCGACGCCAAGAGGCAAGGTGGGGAAGAGTCAACGATCGTGAAAGTCGGTACGAAGGTAATGTATTGGTGATTCAGGAAGGTTCGCAAGGCAGACGGGACGACAAACCTTTGGAGTCTTATTTTTAGGAATAGAAGTAGGCAGAGGCTGAGCGCGCACAAAAGGGAGCACCACTTGAGCGGAGGCCCCAATCTGTTTATTTGTGGGACTCAGAAATACTGACCCCTGTCGTAATTTCAAACCTGCTGTCCCTCTGTCTTCCGCGCAAGCAATCTCGCTTTTTCCCCCTTTCATCTGCTCTCTTCAAATATATCTCACATCTGCGCCACCCAACACTGGTTCATTGACCCCAATACCGCCTTCCATTAGAAATGGGACCAGGCCTGGTTATAAGGACCGCTTCATACGTTCACAATTGTGAATGGCCGTGCTTGATGCGATGGCCAGGTACCTGTTGTCCCCAGGCAGGTCAATAAGCCAGTCAGTCAGCCATCAGCTAAGGTTTTTTGATAGCTGATTAGCTTATATAAAGTGGGTCAGCTGACTTACTTAGCTGATTCGGCTGATCAGCTGCTGATCAGTTGAAGATATAAATCTCAGAAAATTATATTTAAACTAGCTTCAAAATAATAGTATCCCCAAACGTTTCCATCATAATTGCTCCCCTCCTCTGCCAGTTTTTTAAGCATTTGTAATGCCATAAGCTCTTTCCTGATAGTCTAGAACTCTCAGAAGTAGTTATTTTCGTATAAGACGAAAATACTCGCTCGCACTCAGAGCTTATAGCTGGAATACTGAGAAAATCGTATGCCATTTTAGCAAGATAAGGCCATTCAGACTCCCGTACTTTCCAGTACTCCATGACTCCCAAAAGATCAGTAGGGGGTTCAGCTAAATATAGGTAAAGCTCGTCCTTTGTACGGGTAGGCCTCTTAGGACGTAATAAATTAGAAGGCACTATCTGATTTAGTATATCCTCCAGGTAAGACGTCGTTTTTTCAGGCTCTGGGGACTGATTCGTTCGACCTGAAATACCATCATCCCTATACTCTTTCTCCCAAAGCTTACGTATCTTCGTCTTTGCCGAATTAAGAGTACGCGCTTCCCCTGGTAACGTCCAGTATTGATCAAACCAAGTGAACTTAAACCGAGGGTATAAGACCATTGAAGCTATCCATGTAAGAGAGTGATCTGTTTTCTTGTACCACGATATCGTAGTATTCCAAGCTAAAGTAATTGAGCTTTGAATACCGGGATATTCATTAAAATCTCTAGCTTTTGCCTTCTTTTCAAGCTTCTCAAAATAACTAAGAAGGAACTCAAAGACAGGGAGCACCTCCTATAAAGTACTATACAAAGCCTTTTATACTCCGTCTTTTAGATTATAATTGCCTTCCAAGTCCTTGGTTAATCGGAAAAGAGGTTCAAGCTAATCTCTGATAATCTCAAGAGCCCTCTATTCAGCTGCAGTAATATAGTCTTCTGAATAGATCTCTTGATTATCAGAATTATTAGAATCTCTCAAATCGTTAGTATAGATATTTAGGGCCTCTTTGAGTTCAAGGGCTCTCCTAATTATTAGATATATCGAATTCCAATGTATTCCCCCGTCCAAAACAAGCTTCTATTACTTGCTTAAAGCAATTCCGGTATTGGTATTGATTTGTAACTTGGTAAAGATGTCTGTCCGCTTTCCTGAATTCATAACGTATGCTACCAAGTTATATAGCTTCCCAAGCTCTTCCCGCTATCTCTAAAGCTTTCGATGCTCTCCTATACCTGCTTCCTTAAAGTCTTCTTTCCAGCTTGACTTGTCTTGCCCAAATAAATAGGCTTCTGTAATAAGGTTAAGGATATGTCCTATATAGTATAGTCTTTTCTGAATTGGATCAAAATCTATTTATCGGCCGAGCTCCTGTAGTATTATATTATTGTTTTGGGTATTATCAAGAACGAAATAGCCTAAATTATCTTTATTAATACCAAAACGTTAAAATAATGGCAAGATTACTGCGGCTTGATCTAATAGAGGGGGTCAGTCATGTGATCTCGGAAGGAAATTAAGGTCCGGCCGAAGCCCTCCCATTAGCTAGAAACGCTCGGGAACGCCCGAATCGCACTATATCACTTTCGTAAATCATTAATACCACTATATAAAAATCTATTTATAGTAGTAGTAAAAATCTAGACTTACTAATACTACGTTTCCTATAATTAGGGAGCTCTGGTAACCCAATTAGGCGTATTATATTCTCTCCTTTGCAATTCACTATATGTATAATAATACCCAAAACACTAATTTTCTTATGCTTTGAGCCCCAGCCATTAAAACTGCAGTATATTCGTGATTTTGCTGTCTTAATCTCTTCTTTGATTTCTGGCTCAAAATAATAAAATATCTCATTAATCCAGGACTCTATTGTATTATGGGAGGATGGTAGAGCATTTGCAGCTTGTATATTGGCAATCTTGAAGGCGCGTTTTAGTCGGGGAGAAGCTGCTTTGCAAGACTTGATATTATCCATTATAACCCATTTAATAAATGTATTTATGAATTCCTGCTAATGGAACGGGATCGTATGCTTATAGCCTCTATTAACCGGCCCTGAAGCTTGTTGGCCATCATTTCTATACTATACTCTCTATATATCTCCTTTGTAATCGAGAAAGTGGCGGGTAAGGAGATGATTTTCGGCATTTTTAAGGGAGTTGCTATTATAATGCCATTCTCGGCTTCTGGAAAATTCGGGATCGTGGTAGCCTAAAAAACTAATAAGTATATAATTACTATATAATAATAAAAAGGTATACAAAGCTTATATGCCCATATAGTAGGCTTATCTTTTTTGCTTGTATTAGTAAGAGTATAACCAAGCTGCCAAACCTATACTGTCCTCTTCCGCTTGGTAGTACCTGTAATAATGTGTTTTTTCGGAAGCCGTGCGATTATAACTGTGCGATCGTCGAATAAAGGCTCTCCTGGAGTATATGGAGAGTAATCAGGGCGTCGATCTTTAGGAGGAGGCTTGTAAGGGTTGTAGTTTTGATTATAAGTTAGTACCGGCCGATTGTACCGATCTCGTACGTCCTTTCTTTGCTCCCTAGGCATACTGCCTATTATCTGGCTGAAGGCATTCGGAAGATTTAATAACGATTCAGAAGGTCCAATTGAGAGATCACGAGAGGCTCGACTAGTAGGGGTGGATGCGGCGTCCATTTTGATATTGATTAAGGAATCAAATGCCAAGTATGCGAGCTAAGGAGATTTTCAAGGCTAGAAGGCCTAGTAATTAAGGCTATGATTACCTAATTACCCTACTAACCCTCCCAAAAACTCCAATTATTATATATTTAAATGACTCCAAAATCGCAAAATTAGTATGACTTAGCTGATCAGCCGCTTTTAAGCTAGTAGATTTTTAGCTGACTGACTGATATAAAAATTAAAGCCCAACTGAATAGCTTAATAAACTAGCTTATAAGCTAGCTGATAAGCCGGCTGGCTTATTGACCAGCCTGGTTGTCCCCCTGCCCCCACCCTTTTCTCCAAAGGTTCGAGGAGATCTTCAGTGAATGTTTCAATGTTTTGTTCTTCGTCTTGAGATGCATCAATTGATATCACTTGCTTTTCCCTTTGGGACACTGTTGGGTGGAGCATCGAATCGCGCTCAAGGAAAGCATTTGTTAGAAATTCGCCCTTTTGCGAAATGATTCTCTTTATCCGTAAAAATTTCGGGATCCTACATATTTGCCATGGTTTCAAAGGCGTCTTCTGGGGCTCACAGCTATATCATTTCTCAACGAAACATGAAGTTGAGGAAGTATGAAGAATATTCACATATAAATTTGTGGTTTCTCGGTTTCCCTTCGCAACGGGCTCAACCTGCACCCTCAACTCCCTTTACTTCTCCTCCAACCCTGGACTCTTCACATCTTCAAAATCCTCAACTGAAGCAATCCTCCTGACTTCAGTGACATTTCCCCTGAGCGCATGGCTTGGGCACTTGACAGCCCAAGCAACTGCCTCATTTACGTCCTTGACGCACAATCCAGAATCCCTGAACCAGCTCGTCCGCAGGGAAAGGACCGGATTGAATGGTAGGCGGCCCCGAGCTCTGAAAGACGATCCGCCGGCTATCGCGGGAGCTATGGTGGAGACCTTCCGCGGAGAGCAAGATCCCCGCTTTGCGCATTGTCGCGTTGTAAAGGGGGTGGACACATCGGATTGAACTCCTGTACATGCAGCTATATGTCGTAGACAGGTGTTGCTATAGTGAAAGCACGTGCAAACCCTATCTGCTAAATTTTTAGGCGTAAAAGCCTCTATGGCAACAGCACAGCGACATATGATCACCTTACATGAGTCCAATCCGATGCGTCCGCCCCCTTTACTCGCCCATGACTTTCATCATCTCGGGGTCGGGGTTGAATTCGGCTTCTGAATCGAAGGATCCACGCACGAAGATGATAAAGCGTGGCATCTTGGCGAACGTAGTCGGGTTTCCAATGATTGTAGTAGAAATTGGGATTCAAGTGAACAGTTAGAAGGATTTTGACTTTTCTCAAGCACGTCTGGGGGTAATAACCTTAGCTCTTGCTTCTTGAGGGATGTGACGATGGCTTATCTCACAATTTTCTTGCCTAATTTTCTTTGGATATCAGAGAATTGATCTTCGATCTTGGCGCGTCAGGCCTGCAAGAATTCTAGGCAACCGCTGCGCGTGATAGTCGCGAAGTCTCGTGATTGGTGATGCATAGTTACATGAGGTTTAGCGGTGTGATGATCATCCCATCTTACTCCTCACCAGTGATTAAGGCCCGATATCTCTGGAAAGTCAAGCTTCCACTGACTGTAAGGAAGAACCCAACGTGAACGCCACAGTAGAGGAAGTATATCCTCACTCGCGCAGGCCAACCGGCACGCACATCCACACTCACTTGCAATACCGCTCTCTCACACCCTCACGCTCACCCTCCCGCCAAATAGTTATGACTCTCGAAGTTGAAGACTGATTGCAAGTTCTAGTATAGAGAGATTGTTTGTTCAAATTGATGGTCCATAGTATAATTAGCTTCAGCAAGTATCAGCTGAAAGTTGTCTTGATACCATTATTCGGACTTCACTGTCGGCAGTCTCAAGTCTTCCTGCTGAACATTCAGCAGGAATGTTCTCGAGTGGAACACGAGAATACGCTCAATAATGTAACGTATCGTACCGTCAGAAATCTTTCCTGATGAGAAACCTCCTCTCTCTTCTTCCTTTTTTGACATGGCATCAAGAGACTTGCCGTGTGCTCTTCTTGCATTTCCACGACAACATCAACGGTTATATGGAGGATGGCTTAAACAAGAAGGGAGGCATTCAGCAATCATGACTCACGAGTGCACTGTATCAACACAACTCACTTGGAAAACATCCCTGGAAAGAGGGTGATCCCACTCACTCGCCACCGCCTAATCAACCGAAACTCATCCTTTGCAGAATTAGTCCTCGGAGTGAAGCAATTAGCTTCGAGGGTTCGACCAGACTCCAGAGCACAAGGGTGGAAAAGGGGCTGTCAGGATTCGCCTCAGTCTAACATGATGGTTATGTTTTCTCAGCACTGCAAGGATCTCCAAACACATAAAACCATATCTATACAGAGATTGAGAGCCGTCTGCCGAGCATGGTATCCGAGAGAGAGGTGATAGAATGACCAAGAAGATATTCACGTGACAAGAATTTAAGCGAGGGTCCAACGTCGTCTCTATAGCCTCAGTTCAAACCCTTCACGCAATGTAAACTCTTGATCATCAACAATAAACGACCAACTCGGAATATCTTCATTGCACTCGGTCACTCATCAACTTTTAATAACTCTCCCTGAACCGACCACAACGCCACGATCTCCAATTGGGCAAGGTGACAAATCAACTAACAATCCACCATCATGTCCCTCAACCGTCTCGACCCCAAACCCATGACGGATCACGACGACTCCACTGCCGTCATGACACCTCCGGAAACAGTCGCTGACTTCCTAGAAGAAAACGACCCTCTCGGCACCACCAGGCTCAGCTCCTCTTCAGTCCCCTGGCCCGGCTCCACCTTCATCATCCGCTCCGTCTCAACCGGGCACGTACTCACGCTGTGCGACGGACAGGTTGTGACGTCTCCGCCAGGCGGCCGTGGCTCCATCCACTGGGCATGTGTAGAAACAAAAGGCTGGCTAGGCTTCCGCAATGTCGTATCGGGGAGATTCCTGGGGCATGATAACGCAGGGAGACTGCGGTGCACGGCCGATCGTCATCAGGAATGGGAGAAATTTTGTGTGAGGATGACGCCAGATGAAGGATATGTCTTGCTCATGACGCATTGGGAGAGGCTTTGGCAGGTCGGCATTACGGTGGAGCGAGGTGTGGAGAGGCTGGCGAAGATAGGGGAAGCTGGAATCGTTTGGGAGTTTGTTAAGATCTAGATTGAGGTTAGCGACGATCCTTACTTTTGCAAGATGACCGCGAGCTTCAGGAAACTCAAGATGGAGGGATGAAGGCATACTGGATCTCGAGAGAACAAAGTTCACCACAACGCCCTTCGCAAATAGCCAGTTGCAAACACGACTGTCAAGAGAGTAGTGAGATAACAAATTAGGGAGGCTCGCAACAATTACAACAACCTGCTAATTCGACAGATTTCATGGTCCCAATTGATGCAAACGCAACCAGTACTTTGAGAGTTGTGATCAACTGCAATCTGAGTATGATTTGAGTTATAGGAGTATTCAATTGCCCTCTTTGTGCAAGCACCGCTCTGCTTTACCTTTCAATTTATATCATATGCTCAACTCCAACAAGCAAGCCACACATGTCGAGAACACCAAATGCCTTGTCCTATCTTCTGCCGACTTACAGGGAAGACCTCCTCTCGAATGTCTTTGGCACAGTAGAAGTGCAGCAATTATTCACAACCTTTCTAAGTTCAAGAAGCAGAGCGTTGGGGTCGGCATGGGTCTTGCTGCAAGTAGAACATGGAGTCGTAGAGGGAGTAGAATCGTTGTCCCCCCCCCCCCCCCCGAAGGCAGCTTAAGCTGGATCAATATGTCAAACATGATGGCAACAGGAAGGCAACCGACCGTGCATCTAGCATAGAAACTGCTGCACACGACTTGTAAGTACACAAAAAGAGTTACTATGTCGACGTAGCGTCGAGAATTTCCAACGGGACACAATCAGCCAGTAATTTTCTTCTCTTCTCTAGACTGTACCTTCTCACATCGCCCAGGGCCACTTGTCTCTTCAACAAGCTCAATTTGATATTCTGGTCCAATTGAAGACAGCCTGGCTTAATGCAGTCTGAAGCGCTGGGAAAGTCTGAGTATAGATATACAGCAAATACCGAGCTGAGGCAGTATACAAAGCACTCTCGAATTTCACCATCCCAGCTTGTTCAGCTTCAACAAGCCTCCGGGTACATCTCCTGCAATCGAAGTTAAAGGGTTCTCAAATTTAGGCAAGTAATTTCATTGAGTGTTGTCAAGCCGACCCCGATGCCGGTTCTTCCTCTTAAGTCATGAGCAGGCAGGCTTGGCAAAAATACCGTATCGATACGTATCGATACTTGCCCCATATTTTAATTATTATTTAATTATTCATATTTTCTACTATTTTATACGAATTAAAAATTAAAAATCTGTAAGTAGTAAGAATGCTAATAATTTAGTTTAAATAAATATGTAAAATAATGAAATTTTTAACAAAAATATTAATATTTATTAAAATTATGATTTCATGAGTTTTGCGATCCCGATAAGCTTATCGCTAATTTTTTAGCGTGCAGTCCCTAAATTTTAGGCAGTTTATCGCTAAATTTATAGGCTAGCGGCCCCTAAATTTTCGGGAAAATTTAGCGATAAGGTATCGATACTAAAATTCTGGTATCGTTGCCAAGCCTGTGAGCAGGTGTCTTTCTTTCCCAGGAGTTCTTTAATGCACTCTTAAGTAATATTTTTGGATGGATCAAACAAAATCCTGGAAGTCCCAATACTAATAATGGGGATGGAGGGCGAGTTCCGAGCCGGCATCGTCCCAGGCATACTTTCAATGTCAGAGAGTGAAGGGGGCAAATTCCGAGCTGGCGTCGGTGCCGGCGTACTTTCAATATCGGAGATTCAATGGAGAGACAAGGCAACCGCAAAAACTCTTTTCCGATATGAATTCAAAGGAATTTCAACGCGATCTCTTTGCGCATCCTCACGACACTCCGACATCCATGTCCGACCGTGGGGATGGGAGGACACTCGAGACGCAAGCAAACTCGAGAGAAACAACTCCAAATGGACAAGAAACAAGAACAAGAATGGTTTGATAGCGCAGCCAACGCAGGAAAACTAGGGAAGAAGCTGTTGGCTGAGATTCACGAAGAAATCATGGCGAAGCATGGCAGCAGCGAGGATACTCTGGCGTGGCACCAGGCCCGTTGGGACACACGCCTCATTTTATGGAATAGTAAGTGTAAAACCTCCACAAGGAGTAATAAGTTCTGACACTACAGATAGAGCAGCAACGGAATGGAGTCTGGACTGGGGGTATGTCGCCGTCCGAGCCAAGTACTATGGCAAAGCCCACCGCGAGGGAACTTGGTCTATGGAAGGAACCAGAGCAGTACTCGAGCTTACAAACATCATCCTCGCCATCGTTCAATAAGCCAGCCATATATCCACAGCATCACTCGACCTTCCAAGTATCCTCCGCCCCATCGATCCGCACTCCAACGGTACAACCAGAACACTACAACCAAAGCTTGGATCAAGCTGCGAAAGATTTTGAAAAGCTCTTGCTGGCCCGAAATGCACCATGCATCCCTCAGGTTTTGAATCCTCACGCTCCTGAATTCCAAGGTCTTGAAAGCAGTTTACCACGCATCTCTCCTCCTACTCTGAACCCTCATGCTCTCGAATTACAAGGTTCTTCAAGCAGTGTTCAATCTTCAAACAGTACGACTGGTCATGAGAAAGATCTTGGGGCTCGTCTGAGGCAATTGGAGGATGAGGTCTCTCAGCTGAAGGCTATCTTCCAGGAGCATTTGGCAAAGTGTTCAGGCATCAATGGAGGACTGGAGCAGGGTGGAGTGGGACAAGAGACTATAAAGGTTGAGCCTACTGACGATGGAACATTGAAGAACGAGCCAGTACTGGGTGGATCTGGAGAGTGGGAGGAGTATGATGGTGGAGATTTGATGACCTTTGATTAGAGATCTTACAGCAGCATCCAACAGATCACTTCTCAAATATCAACCAGCCAATGGCACATTCTACTTCTGATTCCTAACTTACTACTTGTGCCGTGAATAGACGCAATTTCCCTTTTCGGCAAGCACCCCATCGCTATCTGCTATTCGTACATGACTTTAAGTCCAATTCACATTGAGAAAGCGGACAATTTAAGCCTCGCAGGGAAGGGTAGCCCGCACGGTGCACCAAATTCGTTTATTTACCATCGCCATCGTCATCGATCCCTTCCTGCTATCCTTTTCTTCCAACCCAACCTCTTTCCTAATCCTACTCCTTCTACAAACATTCTGGATCAACCTTGATCTCCTATAAACAAGTCTTTGGCAACCCTACCGCACAAAAAACAAACTGCAAAAATCTTTGCGTCTCGCTTCCCCGGCAGTCATGAAGTTCACAAAGACCTTCGCAGTTCTTGCAACCCTCCTCCCTCTAGTAAGCCTCTCCCATCAAAGCACATCACCTTCTCCAACTAACAAATGGAGGTCCTCACAGTCTCCTTGCCTTCTACAGATCCGACCGAAAGCCAGTCCGATGGCAGTCTTCGGCTTCCTACTATCAGCGATGAACATGGTGACCATTCCTTCAAGTTGACTGGAACCTTTGATGTAAGGAACATATTGTGTAAATGGACTTGAGGCATTTTGTTTGCTGATTTCAAAACAGCATGTCATGGCCGAACTCAAGGAGCACTATCCCGAGGTTCACCTTCCTACGCCCGACGCCGACAAGCCCGCTCTCCTAGAATGCGGTAACGCTGTGAGTTCATTTCATTGGCTCTCTTCCAAGAACAGCCCCCTTGACTAACTCCAAATTCTTCAAGCTCCCTCCTCTCTGCGTTCCAGTGGCAGGCTGGAATTGGGGCAACGCATATGTCGGTGGCCTCAACAGCTTCACTACATTATTGAATATCGAGAATTATGTCATGAGGATTCCTCCAGAATGCCAAGTAATCTGGTGCAACGATCATGCTTCAGTTTGGATTTGCAATAACGTGAGTTCAAAGTACCCGAGAGCAAGGAATTTCCATATCCTAACAAAGGTCCCTCACAGCATAATGATATCCTACAAGTCCAGACTCCAAAGCACAATTGTGGCAAGCCGTATTCAATATATTATCGATCAATGTCAACACTGCCTCTTGGGAAAGTCCTTTTGCTTTGCGGGCGGTCAAGTTTTCGACAATCAAGACAACTGGAATCTGATTGTTAAGGGATCTGCGGATACAAATGCTGGTGGCATGGGCTGCCCGCCCCCAGGCCGCGTCAAGAAGCGTTCCCTTGAGATTGATGGTTCCTCCACTTAGTTCTCCCTCCCGGAGCGCCAGCTCCCCAGGGCAGTACCTTCATGTTAGGAAAAGTTGCAATGGTCATACTTGCATTGGCGATTTTCTTTTGGGTTGTGTTTTAGGATACCTGGAAAGAAACCCCCTCTGGAAACTGAGCAGTTTAATAATCATGCGCACTTTTGGATGTACATAGATTGAGACAACTCGGGCCCTCTCTTTTCAGGTTCCTTGCACATAATAAAAGCTTTGCAGCAAACCCAACATGGATTCTGTGTGGTGTTTTACTTTCATTCTGTATAATAGCTGCCTTTTAACCCTGCAGCAACTTCAAACCTTCTCGTTCTGCTTTGAAAGTGAAGTAGACTCGTTGTGCTCACTGTTGGGAAACCCTTATCTAACCAACCGGGTTTGGAGAAGACACTTCCTGTTTTGTGTTCTGAAGCTTGCGGCCCCACTCCTCCCCCTTTCTTTCAAATTCACCACGCTTCGCCAGAGTCCCGTGCTTTCAAGTTTGCAATGGAAGTGCCTGGCAAAATAGAACAAATAGTCTTGGGCAGTTGTTTCATGTGTATTTCTGCCTAGTAGATAAGAATATAGGTTTTGTCTTCTTTGTATTATCATTTCAAACATAAGTAAACAATGAAAACAAGGCATATAAAAGCTTGACAATCGGTTGAACACATGTATCTCTCACATGTCTGGAACTTCACCCTATCAAGTGTTTAGATTTCTCGAATCTTCGGATCGTTAGAAACAAAGACACCCCTCCTTCAAGTCATTCGCTCTCTAACATGGGAAACAGGTGTGCACAACTCCTTAGCGTCAAGTCCTGCCTTTTAGACTCGGAGTTGCTGAAGAGACATATCCGACATAGATTCTTTTCTCACTAATGCAAAAACATACATTCCTCTTCCCGCGTCCCCGATCTTGTCTTCCTTTCTTTTGTCCAACAGTGTACTCTGCAACCTCACACGTACCCGTTCCCCCAAGTCCCAACACCTCTGATCATCTCGATCTTCTTCATATAATTTTCCACTCCTCCACACACGCAAATCACGCTTCACAGCACTCTCCAAACCGCCAGAATGAGCGTAACACTCACCCACGTCGTCGCCGCCTTGGCCTCCGTCACTGTCGTCCTCTCCTCTGCCATCCCTGAGGTTGGCGGATCTGACGTCGCTGTCTCTGGTAGGTTTTCTTTGCCTCCTCCTCCTGCTACGCATGCTGATGAAGCAGCTGGTTCCGATATCACTGCCGGCTCTGAGTTCGCCCACTTCGGCTTGAGCTCCGCTGGCACTGAGGTCTACCATGATGATGAGTTCGTTGGTACTCCTGAGGAGATCTATGCCAAGGTCAATGCTCGTCTTGCCTCTCTCGGTCTCGAGAAGCGTGGTGAGTTGGTTGCTAAGAACAAGGTAATCTTACGTTTTTCCACTTACCCTTTCCTGTCTCCTCTAAACGAAACGGAGCGGCCGTTGTTGCTCTCTCCCTTTTCCACCTCCTCTGCGCCTTCTGTTCCAAGCGAAGCACGCCCGTCAAAGAAACAAGCTGATACGAATATGACAGATCTTCCAACCACTCTGCGTTCACATCGGCGGCTGAGACTGGAAAGCTGCCCTGGTCTCTGATGCCAACAAATGCCGTGACTCTATGGGCAAGGGTGGGCGCTTCTTTGTTAATCCCCGCAGCTGTGCTCGCATCTGCTGCATCAGCGGCAACGCAGTCTTCATTTGCAACGGTGTTCGTCTTCCCCTCCCCTCTCCTTTCCCCCTTTCTTCCAATCTCGCTTCAAGCACTTGAAGTGAATTTGAATTCAGACAAGAACATCAAGCTGACGGGACCTGGGCAGAACACCTACTCCATCAACCCCTCCCTTCCCTAAATCCAAGGCTATGTCGGTAATATCATTGAACACTGCAGCTTCACCACCATCGCCGGCCAGCTTGCTGGTGGTCAGATGTTTGACACCGACCGCGAAAACGTTATCCTCAGAGGTGGCCAGGGTCTTGCCACCGACTGCGCGTACGGCCCATGGAAGAAGTAGCCTCTCTCGCTTTCCACACCAGTGGTGTTTCTTCACCAGCGCTTCTGCGATGGGACTAAGATGCACACTTTCCTGGTTGGCTTGATATTCATGGCGTTGAATGGTGGCATGGGGCGTTAATAACTTTCTTTTCTTTGCACGTCTTCGTGCACTGCTTGGGGAAAGGTCGCTAATGGATTTCTTTCCTTCTCTCATGCGGCATTGCGGTGGTGTTTACCGGATTTGCTTTCAGGATGAGAGGTCAATCGGGTGAATATGTTGAGATGTGCATGGGCTGAGACAACCTTGCAATCAAATAAATAAACTCTACTAAAATAGCAACCTAAAATCTTTTTCTTTAATGATTTGCTTGAAGACTTTGTCTTTGTGTCAAATGAAAAGCCAAGCAGCCGCTTGCACTGATTGCATTCTGTCTTGGAAGCACGGTTGCTGCAGCGCATTGAAAATCAGTAATAGGGAGCATTCGAGAGAATTAATTCAGCAGCAAGGTTTTGGTACATTGTTGCAGTTGTTGGAAGACTGGGATGAAGATATATTGCAAGATACAGAGACCACCTCGCGGCCTTAGTAGCACAAGTGTGCAATTAAGTTGACAATAATTCAATGCTATTATTGCGAAAACAAAGTATATCTTAAATACGGTACTTGGGCTTCAAGTCCGCCAGGAGCTGCAGCTGCAGACTGTGCTGTAAAATGGCGGAAACACGATCAGTCAGCGCTTTGCGGCTGGCCTGACTACGCCCTTCAATCAACATCAAGCCAATCCTCGGCTGGCAGCAACACATGGGCTACTAAATGACGCAAAGTGCGAAGATCAAACCACATGTTAAATTCTGCCGCCTTCGTAGTCGATCTCAGTTAGTTGTGCGAAGTTCGCTCCGTTAGACGCATGACGTAATCGAGCATTCGTCCCTTTTTTCCCAACTGGTGAAGGTATAAACCTTATATCAGACTCGAAATGCAAAATTCTGCTCAAAATCTAATTCAAGTCAATATCTGAACTTCGTAAGGCACCATGGACCTTCAACATACTGGTGCCAAGGCTGGAATAGCTGATATAATCTCGCATCATCGAATAAAACCTTGACAGAGAAATCAGATCGACAATAGATGAAATGTGTGGTCTTCGTTCACGGTACACCTTGGTCATCAGTGGTTCCCCAGCCTATCGCCGAAGCCCTCTTCGCAAAGAGGACGTATCAAATCCTTGTCTACGACCAGCCAGGCTACGAACAATCGCAGGATTTCGATCCAAGTAGCAGTACCACTACTTCTACTTCTACTTCTACTTCGGAAGAAAGATTCCCAGGAGACACGTCTGTTAAGTTCCAAGTTCTAGCTCTGACCGATCTGCTCAAACATGTACAGATGGACGGTCAGGTGGGCACCCAGCCCCAGCTATCATAGCGCACGATATCGCCGGGACAATCGTCTTGCAAGCTCATCTTCTGCATGGATGTGAGTTCGATACCATTATGCTGCTTGATGCGAATACTGTGTTACCTTGGGGAGACGGGTTCTGCAAGCTCGTTCGAGCTGAACTGCAGACATTCGTGAACCTCCCACAGAATATCTTGAAGCTGTCGTTCGGGCTGTGATCCGAAGTGCATGCCTCAATACGAATGTACTACAGGCTGGTTGGGAGGATGTTCTTTCTCGCCCTTGGATTGGCCGTCCCTCAGATGGGCTGGAGCAGGAGAACGGCAGCGGGGTTTCGTCCGTCCGATTGCACAAGCGGATGAAGATATGGCGGAGATGCTGGCAGGGGTTTTGTACGAGCGTGTACGATGTGAAGATCGTATGGGGAGAGTAAGGCCAGTGGATTCCGAGAAGAAAATAGAAGAGTTGGTCAGAAGGTAGAAGGGTAGATTAAAGGAGTCTGTCTTCATTCCCGAAGCCAGTCATCTAGTTATGCTGGATCAGCCTGGGAGGTTCACTATCGAGGTATTTGACTGCCTGCCTCGATTTGGATCGCCTCGAAGCCTCTTGGTTTCTTGAGCTGGCTCCTTGAAAATATGTCATGACAAAACGAGGCATGCGCGGAAGCTCCTTGGCAGGCTGACAGCTGGCCGGCGTAAGGAGATTAGGGATAGCTTTTGATTTTCGCAGTATCTGGCTCGGTGTTGATTATGATGAACAGATGTAATCAATCACCGCTGCCTCCGCCTTGGATTCGAGCCCAAGAAACTTTGTACTTGAAGCGGTCCAAAGTGCGGTGAGCTGGTGTAGAAATAGGGGCAACCTCGCTTAGCACTCAGACCCCCTTGTCAATCAAGAACAAGGCAATCGCCGACAAAAGCACCTGTCAAAACAGTAGCGTGCGAAGATCAAGCTACAAGGCAATTGCGAGGAAGTAGAACGGGACGTGAATACAGATAACCCCTCTGTGTCGAAAAAGAGAAACTCAACGCATCGCTCGACGAACTTGTCGCACTTTCAGCACGCTACAACCAGTACCTAAAAGGACGTGGATAATAGGACTTGTATCAAGATAAGTAGCAGCTTAAGCAATTGGGATAGTAGGATTTAGGTTCAGTAACCCCTATAGACTTGCTTTCCCTTGCGATTTGAAAGGGAGGATTGTGACTATGAGCCCAGCGGCAATGAACAATGCACCACTCGTATAGACCGGAGCAGAAGTTTGAAGGTTGGAGAACATGGCAATAATTGGCTGTCCCAGTCCATCAGTGCGAGTTATTAATCGTTAAGAAAAGGGACGTGTAGAGAACTCACAGCCATGATGCCAAAAATCCTGTTTGCAGTTGCCGCTATCGCATTGCCTGTTCCCCTATCCTTCGTTGCGAAAATCTCTGGCGTTACTGAGGCCATTATTGGGCTAGTCGACAAAACCGAGAAGCGAAAAGTGATTTTCTGATTTTTTGATTTTCGCACCCGCACCCCCCCCCCCACAACACCTTACTAAAAAAAAAAGTACAACATCTACGCCTTATTCTCAACTACTACTAGCCCCCCCCTATCTTGCATAGTTCATAAGGCAAATCCTATAGATTACAAGACATATCTCCCTTACTTTCTATATCCTTTATATTTATATTACTCGAATTATCTATATTTCTTTTATTTTCTTCTCCTCTAGTATTTTTACTTTCCTCTATTATAATCTTTTCCCTCTTTACTTTTTAATCTTATATCTGTTTTTATATTTACTTTCTATATTATATAAGTAATATAATCTTAAAAGAATTTAATTCTATAAATATATATTAAGTTTATTTCTAGATTTGCTTTATTTTTCTCTAATTTCTTTAACTTTCTATTCTAATATAGCTTTATTTCTCTAATTTTAGCCTTATTATTAATTTAATTTATTAATTTAATAATATTATTATAAAGAAAAAATAAAAAAGAAAATCGAGAAATAAAGATATTTATTTATTTATTTATATTTTCTAAATAATATAAGATTATAATTTATATATAAAGAAAAAATATATTTAAATATATAGGTATTAATATTAATTTTCTATAAATCTTTTAATTTTATTATAATTATTTTATAAGAAATATTTATATAAATCTATTTAATAATAATATTATAATATAATAAAAGATTTATAAAATATTATAGTATTTTAATATAATTAAATAAGATATTATAAGTTTAGGCTATATATTACTATTATAAAGTACTTTTAGTAATATAAGTACTAAATTACTAGAGTAATAGTAAGGCATACTCTAAAAATAGAGAAGCAGATATATATAATTATTAGAAATCAGGAAATTAGAAATCAAAAATCAGAAAATCAAATCTTGCTTCTCGGTTTTATTAACTATAGTCGGTCTAATCTAAAAGCAATAAAAAAAATACTACTATAATACTAATTAATATAAATCGTATTAATTAAAACTATACTATATATTCTAAAAATTAATTCTATATTCTCAAAATTATAATATCTTTATTATTAAAGAAGTTATAATATATATAATTAAGTAAGGAAATATATTTATATTTTATATAGTTGTTTTTTTACTTTAGTTATTATATAACTGCCCTTCTAAATTAATTGCTCTTTTATAATTATATTAATATCTTAATAACTATAAATCTAATTAAGTACATTTTTTAAATACTTCTAATAGCTACTTCTATAAGCCTTTAGAAGTATAAGTAAGCTAATTCAATTCTTAATTTAATTATAGTTCTTATTCTAGCTAAAGAAGCTATAATCCAAATAACTAATAACAAATAGTATAGGAAACCCTCTAATATAGAGAATAATTCTAATAATTCAGATATTAAACCAAGTAATGAAATTGAGCTTAAAAATTCAATACTTTTTTAGATTTAGTAGAAGCTTTTTATTAGTAATAATAAGACAATTATTTTAGAGAAGCCTATAGTTATATAGTAAGATTAGAGACTTATAGAATAAACTAGTAAGTTTCTTACCTTATTTTCTTATTTTTATATTATAATATAAGTATATTAAAACTATTTCTAGCTTCTAGAGGCTTATATAACTCTAAATTAATAAAGGAATTAGTAAAGCTATTAAGAACTCAATAATAATATATATATAATTAGAAAGTAAAAGATACTCAAGTTATAGAGTAATCTAATAGGCTTAAGGCCTCTATAATTATACTATTTTTTAAATAAAAGAGGCTAAAATTCGATATTATTAGAGGGCTAATTAATATTCCTAGAAATATATAATTAAGAAAAGAATAAAGGCTTAAAAATAAAAATAATAGAACTAATAAGCTACTTTTAGATGCCTTTATTAGAAATGCTTATAGAAATAATAAAGCTCTAGATATATAAATAACTTATTAAAAAGTCTTTAATAATATAGATATTAAGCTAGCTCAAACCAAAGAACTATATATTTCATATATAATTACTAATTTATACTTACTCCAGTAATATATCTAATAGCTTCTAAAGCTAGGGAAATATTAACTTAGAAAAATTAATATATTACTTTTAGTAGCTTCTAGTAATTACTACTTTAATAATAGAAAAATACTAGCTTGGCAAATTAAAAGGCTATTTAATTATTATTAATAGTAATATAGTATTCTATAGGAAACTAGAAATAATAAAAGAAATAGTACCTCTTATTTAAATAATAAGAATATTTTTCTAGTCTACTAGACTTAGTTAATTAATTAAGAACTTAGAATAATATTACTAAATAATTTCCTAAATACTACTAATTAGGAGATTTTATCTCAATTATTATTAATAATAGAAAAGCCTATTATTTATAGTATAGCCTGCTTATAGCTTTCTAGACTCGGCTTTTATTACTATAAGACTAAGAAAAGACTTTATATAAATAGATATAAATAACCTAATATAATTTAGTATTATTAAAAGATATTTTTGCTATTAATAAAAGAGCTTTTATTATATATAGTTTAATATAAGAAAAATAAAGCTAGTATATAATATATAATTTAACCTTTACTTCTAATTAGAGTTTAAATATATATAATATATTTCTATAATAAGAGCTATTTTTATGAATTTAATTATAAAAAGAGCCTCTAGCTAGTAAATAATTAGTAAAAAATGCCGAGAAAGAGTAAAAAAAGGCTAATTCACGATTCTGAATTCATAAGCCTTAAAAGGTATATTAGAATACTAAATAATAAAGACATTTTTATTCCGGATAACCCTAATTTAAATATCTATTAAATTATATATCTAGGTTTAAATAGAGATCTCTAGTAAGATATAAAACAGCTACTAGTATAGATTACTAGGATACTTAATATATTTAAATAGAAGTACCTAAACTATATAGCTATTCTAATATTTAATTAGTTTTTTATATATACTTTATATAGTAAAAGTATACTAAATATCTTTAGTATAAATAAGTTACTAGAGGGAATTAAAAAGAGTAATATTAAGGCCTATAGAAGAAATATATACTTTTTACTAAAATATATAATTCCGGAATTATAAGGTACTATTTAAGTTCTTTAATAACTTAATCCGAATAAAGAAAAAGAGCCTAAAAATATAAAACAGATTCTTATTAAGTAAAGTTATAATATACCTAGCTTAAGATTTAAGTATTTAAAGGATATTAAATATACTATATCCTTTAAATACTTTTCTACTATTAAATAAATATACTATTTAGCTCGTATATTATTGAATTACTAAGACTTTTTTAAAGAAAAATCCCAAATTAAAGAGCTTATTATAAATCGGAAATATAAAGCTATATTTTTACTAAAGTTTTACTATAAAATTAACTCAATTAAGATATACTAGAGATATAGCAAAACTCGATATTATTAAATAAAGAAGGCTAGATTCCCAGATACTAAGATTAAGGTAGTAGAGGCACTTAAAGCTTATTTAATTAAGACTATATAGAGGTTTTATAATTATATATTTTACTAGATAGATATATATCGGAAGGAATTAAGTATTAAATAAGCTATTTAGTATATACAGAAGCAAAAATGCTATAGAATAATATCTAAAAAGGTAATAGACAAATAGAATAATATATAAAAGTAAGAGAAAGAAAGTAGCTAAATAATAAGTAAGGTTTATAGATTTAATTCGGCTAAAAGTTAGCTTAAAACCTATAAAATTAGGGCCCTACTATATATATAATATATATAGTACTAGAAAAAGCTATATTTAGTATTTAGGAAAGTTTATTTAAGCTTATAGGACTTATTTATTATTATTATATTTATAATAAGGCTAGTAAGATACCGCGATCTCCCCCTGAAGTCCGGGATCACGTGACCTTAGCGAGCAAATATATTCGCGTTTTGTATAAGGGAAAATCAAAAAAGTAAAAAGGGTCCGTGTACTTTAAGCCTCGATTATTAATAAACCACAAATTATATTAAAAATCTAATTAATAGGTATTTTTCGCCTGCTTCTATTCTATAATCGCATCACTTAGTATAAATTAATTAGGGTTGTAATTAAAAAGGTATTATGGGCGTAAAAGAGCGACCGTTTTGTCGCTTTTGGATCGGACCGACTGTAGCTAGCTGTGGGCCTCAGTAAACAAGGGGCATTTCGGTTTGCTCCCTCTCTAAGCGGATTCTCTGGACGGGTTTTTGAGGCTATTAATTAGCTTGGCCTCAAACCTTTCTTTTAGTATTGTTTTGATCAGAATACGTCGTGCAGCATCTAGTTGCGGCTCCATGACTGTGACTGCCACGAAAGCGCCGATTCTGGCGGGATGGCAAAATGGCAAAAGAGGAAGAAAAGGACGGAGAGGCAGATGGGCTGAAGGCACTATTTCAAGCGGTCGCACGTGGGATCAGCAGTGGGGTAAACCAATTCTGCCTCGTTACCTCGTTAGATATTGTTCCCTAGGCCTCCCCGCTACAGGCGCGTCCCACTGAGCCACACAAGCCACAAGTCTACCCCGCGGTCCTTAAAAAGGTTAACTAAAAAACAAGCGACACCTAATTCGCCTTTTATTATACCTTCTAAATACACTTAGTACTTTATTTATAATGTAAATCAGTTTAATATAAATGCCTCTAAGGAGAGTACTACTCTTTTCTTTATAAATTCCTTCTTACTTTATACTTATTATATCCTAAATACCTTCCTTCTCTAGTCTCATTGTTTAATAGACTTCCTAAATATCTCTTTATTAATTCTGCATCGCTAAAAGTCAGGTTAGAGAGTCTGAACAGTACTATCAATTTTTGGTCAAGTTATAAGTATATAAAAACGGCCGCTTAAATGATTATCTGTTCTAGCATTTCTGTCATTGAAATTACAAAGAGTGATGAAACATATCTTCCCATAGCTAATAAATCAAAGGAATGTAATCATTTAAGTCGGTTGTCTGGTGCTGCGAGGCCGCCATTTATATCTTAAGCAATAATGAAATGTCAATACAGAAATGAATGTGGGCATGAAAAACCGGCTGTCTGGTTCAGCGAGTCTGTAGTTGATGAGTAAAGTAGGCTTAGTATTCCCCTCCAGTATCCATAAAACCAAAACGAAGGGAAAATGTAAGTGCAACCAGCGCACCTTAGATCCTGTAGGGATCGTGGGGTCTTAATCTGCTCTCTTGATCAACGATCCACTCCTTCAGAAGCGCATCATCTTCGCCGAGATCGTTGGCCGATTGATCTGTAAGACATAATATTAGCTAGAAAATCATTGCATAGCGGATCAGCTCACAGAAATTGATGATTTGCGTACGCAGGCCATCGAAGGACCTTCTCAGTGCCTCGCTCCTTCCAATCCAATCGAAATTCCCCTGTTCTCGCCAGTCGATATAGAGGGGTGAAGATTGACGGAAGAGTGCGGCATAGTTTGTTGTCAGAATATTGTATATGTGCTTCGAGGCTCCGACTACCATTTCACTGTCTGCATTGAAATTAGAAAGATGGGCTACATGGATGGCAAGAACATACTGGAACAACCAGGCTGAAATATGTTGGGTCGCGGGGCTATAGCATACTGCTTGTAGACGGCCATGCAGTCTCGATATGTGAGGATCAGAGACCACATGCACGCCCACAAAGGAATCATGTTGTTCTCTCCAGGACCTTTCGCTCCATATAGCAGCTTGTGCAAAGCTTTCAAGATGAGGCGCTCCTCAGTTTCTATGCCCTTTTTCAAAACGAGGACGATTTGGTTCTTTACTGCTTTGGAAACAAGAACGGGATTATCGTTATCGGAATTGGAGAGGTCGTAATGCGTGCAACGCCAGCACCTCACTAACTTCAATAGTCTAATTGAGCTGCTCAAAAGATCGTGCTGCCCATCATCAACTGCGGTTAGTGAGAAGTCTACCGATGACAGTCATCTTTAAGTGTACTTACAAGTGGCAGCCGAGGTGCATGCCTGCAGTATTGATCCATGAATTCCTTGAGATTCGTAATCAACAATTGCTGGACAGACTGCCCTCGAGCATCGGTCATATTTGCGTCGCCCCAATTCAATAGATGATTCAACTTCGGCATATTTTCTGGTACAATGGCATAGCGTTTGCTGATAACAACATTGAAATTGATCCTGTCGAGTGCTACGCTGTGGTAGAGAATTGGGTCTTCTGAATCCGGCGTTGAGTAGTCCCGTACCGTGATCGGCACCACGAGTTCAGTTGGAAATTGTTGACCTTCGTGAAACACCATTCCCACACGAATTGACTTAGGTGGCCCATAATAACTTTTGATCTCAGAAGATAAAAAGCCGCGAGTGAAGGAGATTAAGAGCAGGTCTGCTTCATTTAGTGAATGCGTAAGGCATTAAGTACCTTGGGAATAACTCACCAAAGCCGCCGAAGCGAAGTTCAATAAAGGAACTCTGGATACATATTGCACTTGCAAGATTGAGATTCCCGGCTGCCTTCACGCACGCTTCACAAGGTCTAGGATAAGTGAACTGACATGTTTAGTGGTTAAAAGTACGACAGGTATCGGGGTCACTTGCCTTTATTTTTCTAGCCTTGCATCTTGAACATGACCTGACATTTCTGGCAAGTTTATACGCTTCGCGTTCGCTTGGAGGAATTGGCTTCTTGGTTCTCCTAGCTTTGGGCTGCTGATTGGTCGGAAAACATGTGACCATGTCCTTGAATTTGTACTTGCCACTTGATGAAGCCTTGGACTTCGCTTTTGTTCGTTTCTGGCTGGAGCCCGCAGTAGAAACAAGGTCTCCCAATGAAGAGGGAGGTATCATTGGCGGAAAGCTCGAGCTAGAGGTTGCGTCTGGACTATCCGAGGCCTCTCCGAAAGGTGCAGGCACATTCTCGAGAAGTTCGTTCTGTCCCGAGCCGGTTGCAAACGAGTACGAGTAATTCTCAGACCCATATCCGCCAGTATCTGGCAACAATTTACTGGGGTTGGCATTGAAAAGGGTTCCAGACGAGTTCTGTGGATTGGAGAAGCTGTACGAGTTGGTGTCAAAACCATCCGGGTAGCCTGAGATCGAATTGAAACACCTCATGCTGGGTTCTGGCTCCGTAGAAGCGACAAGGAAGGTACCAGAAGTCCAACCTAAGTTCGTAATGCCACCCCCAGGAGGCAAAACGGGTCGAAGGAGGCAGTCCCGGAATCCTGCATCGGTAGGAATATCATAGTTCATCTCCATGTCGACCTCCGCCCCCACATTAAGATCTAAGTCTTCATAGTACCGACTTCCTTGACCACCGCTGTCCTGGAATAGGCCATCGTGCTCTTGCTCCATTTCGGCCTGAGTAAGGCTTCGACAGGGATGTCGCAAGGCTGCCGTCGCAAGGCCAAGGAAGGGAAACGACCAGTAGCATAGGTCAGCGTTGACGACCCAAGGGTGTGACAACTTTTATAACGGAAAAGTTAGAAATGATGAGTCAACGGAAACGCTGGAAATGGAAACTCGCTGAAGTTGAATTGCATTTCTAAAGGTGAGCACCGCTCGCCAAATCAGGTGACCGAAGGATTGAGGAGATTTTCTCACCGAGAGCCCAAATTGGGACACGCATGCATAAGACTTCAGCCAAGCAAAGTGCCTTGTGGTCATGTGAAGGTGGGCTGGGAGTGTATAGGCAATATTGTCAATATCATGATTGGGCGGGCCCAATGCAGTGCTCCCAATGAATGGGGCGTCTAGCGCGCCCTGGACCACCCACCAGGTAAAGTCCAGGGCAGTTCTAAATAATATAACGCCCTGACTCTTATTGGGTGGTCCAGGGCGTGACTTTTGATTACCTAGGGCGCCTTGATAGGCCCGCTTAGGGTCGATTTTGAAGATATATTTTGGGCCTAGCTCTATAGACCAGGCTTAAGCTTGAACGATTTCCTACTTTTTTAAAGAAATCTCTGTAGTACAGCACTTTTTTCTCTAGAACTACGTGGATTGCACTTGATTATATTAATAAATGTGTTCCAACCACCGAATTTTAGTTATAGTTAAGGCTAGTAAGTATATAAGAAGTTAGATAAAAAGTAATTTATTTTATAGTAATTACTTTAAATAATTATTAGCTAATTAGTAGAAAAAGAGGCATTTAGGAAAAGAGAGATTAAGAAACTGTAATTTATTACTTCTTTTAGCTAGTACTATTTTTTTAAATAAAAAAATTAGAAATATAACCTTTAGGCAAACTAGTTTAACCTAATCTAATTCTAATTAAATAATTTAAGATAATTTAGTTCTTAAATTTTTACTAAATAGTCTAAGGCTAGAAGAATTTATTAGCTAATTATCTAAACTTTCTAATTATTTAAAAAAATTCAATAATTATTTAATTATTATAATCTATTTTAATATTAAATAAATTATTTTTTAAAGCTTTTATTATTTATTAAATTACTATATTAAATTCAGAAATAATTTTAATAAATTCCTTAAAATAATAAAGCTTTAAATAATATATATTTATTATCTTAATTAAAATTAAAATAAATTAATATATTAAAATACTAATAAATAAATATTTTAAAATTAGTAAAATAATTAATTTTTAGAAATAAGAATTATAATATTATAATATTAATATATAATTTCTAAATTTACTAAATCTAATAGAATTTAGTCTATTAATTAAATTATTTATAAAATACGAAATTATATAATTATATCTTATATTTTATATTCTATTATTTATTATTAGTTTACTAGTAATATATAGTACTATTATATAAGTTATAGAAATACTATTATATTAAAGTTAGTAAAGTTATTATTTTAGAAGTAGGGATTATAGTATTATAGTATTAATATATAATTCCTAAATCTGCTAAGCCTAAAGGGGTCTAGTCTACTAGTCGAGTTACTAATAAAATATAAGGTTATATAACTATATCCTATATTCTATATTCTATTACCTATATTCTATATCCTATATTCTATAACTTCTAAAGAAATAGCTATACTAATACTAGAAACTTTCTAAAAATGCAAAAAATAGTATCTCTTTCCGATTATATACAAATTCCCTAATCCGGCCTAGTACCAGATTCCCAAATATTCTATATATCTATATTACTTCTAAGGTTTTAGTTATATACTAAAAGCTATAGCCTTTTATATATAACTTTCTCTCCTATAATTCCCTTCTATTCTATATATCTATTTTCTATTCTATCTATATTTAATCTATTTCTCTATATCCAATTATATAGTATTTATATTAATTAAGTACTTGAGGGTATTTATTAGCTTCGATTTTATTATAGAATCAGTAAAGTTCGATTCTCCCTTAATTTATTTAACTTCTGTAATCTCTTATTATTTATATATCTAGTAGAAGTATATTATATTAATTATTAGATACTTTTCTTAAATAGTTCCCAATTTAATAAGGCATTTATATAACAACTTCAAATCTATATAGACTATTAGTAATAGTTCTATTTCTAGTATTCTATTAATTATAGATTTAACTAAAGTACCTATATTAAAACCGTAAGCTATACTATAGAATTCCAAAGCTAGAATAATTCTAGTAACTCTCTTATATTTAATAGAGAACTAGTAGATAATATTAGTATATCTAGTTCTGTTTACTAGAACTAGAATATATTCGATTTAAGAAAAAAGATCTCTATTATTTATAAATAAAATATCTGTAAAAATAATTAAATATAAAGACTTCTTTATTAGCTTTATAAATCTCAGTTCTCTAATAATATTCTCAATTTGTTATTAAATATATTTATTAAATGCCTTTATATTAGTTTCTGAAGATTTAATAGCTTAAATAGTAATTAATAGATTATATAAAGCTTCTAGTTAATAGACTAATATAATATATACTTCTCTAGTATATTAGGTAATATATTAGTTTTTAATAGAGAGATTTTAATAAATAGTACCTCTACTACTTATAATAGTAGTATTCTTTATAGAAATAGTTTAGAGGTTTTTATATTAGTATTTTTATATAAGAGTAATTCTAGTAGTATTTATATAAATAATATTTCTATTAAACTTGAGATTATAATTAATAGTAAGGCATTTATACTTTTTAGCTAAAAACTTAGCTTTATAGAGCTTTAGTTATTTTATTTTTATAAAATTATTAGTTCTAATAAATAGAATATTATTAGTTTAAAGGCTAATAATTCCGAAAGGTTATTTACTATAAAGGAAACAAGAATTATAAGTTAACTATTCTATAGAAAGCTTATTAATATAATAAGAATAGTAAGTTTTAAATTAGTAATTCCTAGCTTCCGATATATTATATAGTAGTTTTATAACTTTTAGAACCGAATTATTATTTAGATTTAGCTCTTTAGTAAGTTTATAAAGTGAGTTAATATAAAAATTATAATTAAATAAGATTATTAATTAAATATAAGCTTGTAAAATATTATATAAATATAGTTCTATAATATCTGTTATTATAATAGTAATACTAAGGATAATTCTCTAGCTAATATATTAAATAGTAAGTAATTATATTAATACTATATATTTCTTACTATTATTATATATTTAGATAACTAGTCTCGACTTTTTAAACTCTCTTTTTATATTCTTATTCTTGATCTTATTAATAAACTAGAAGTTGAAAATATATATCTTCTTTAGTACCTGAAATCTGAAAGTAATTTCAAATATATTCTTTTTTTTAAAAAACTAGTAATTTTAACTTAATAGAAGTTCTTATATAGGTTATTGTTTTATAGAAATACTATAATATCCGAATTCTTATAAAGGTATTCTCTACTATATTTTAGTGAAATAGCAGAAATAGTAGGAGAAATTATACCTATATTACTTTTAATATTACTATAGAATTCGGAAATAGATTCAGGTTCAAGTTCGAGGTTATTAGTAATAACCTTAATATCTTCTATATAAAAGGGCTTTATAGAGATTAAATAGAAAATAGTATTACTATATAATAGGGCTAGTATATAGTTCTTTCTATTAATAACTATTAGCTTATATAGTTTATTTCAATTATTAGATTAACTAGTATTTCTTTTATATTATATAAAAATATCCGAATTCGAGGAAAGTTTATAGATATTAGTAATACTAGAACTATTTCGGGTATTTAGAATATTTATAATCTGGTATTTAGCTTAAAGCTTCTAAATTTCTATTACTACTTTTTTAAATATTATTAATTACTATAATATAGTTAGTAATAGAGTATTATATTTAGTTATTTAAGGTAAAGTACTATAAACTAAAAGAATTGAGATAATACTATTAGGTCTAGCGAAATTATTAATAGCTTTAAAAGCTATTTGAAATATAATATTTTTATTAATTCTATTAATTTCAGCTATAATAATAAGATAAATATATTAAATCGGGCTATAGTAATATTCTATAATTCCAATAGAATTATAAGCTTTTATAGAGACAATTTTAATTTTAGTTCTATAGTATTTATAAGCTAAGTAAACTTCTTACTAATAAACTACTTTTCGGTATCTGCTATAATCTAATTAGAAGAGCTTAAATAGATATTAATTTAATACTACTTTAGGGCATTTCAAGTATATAATATACTAATATTTTAAAGCTATTAGCCGGCTTAATATTAAGTACTTTTATTAATAATATAGAATATAGACTTACCGGAAATATAGAAAATATTAATAATAATAGAGTAATTAAAGCTAATATTATCTTTTAGGTTAAACTTAAATTATTTTAGTAATTATTTATATTTCTAGTATTATTTATAATATTTTATAAGATATTTAAGGGCTTTTATATTAATATTATAGCCTGTTTATTCTAGTATATTTCGGAGTTTACTAATAGATAAATAACTAAAATAGTAGTATAAATATTATAATTCGACTTCTATAAGAAAATAGGAGTTATAAGTAAAGAATTCGGAAATAAAGCTTTATAGAATAGTATTCTAAAATAGGAAAAAGTATCTAAAATATTATATTATAGATATAAAGTATTTATTAGAAGTAATAAAATAATTAGTAAGATTATTAAAATAGATTTCTAGCTTATTTATATTAGCTAAGCTAAATAGAAATAGAATCTTTATAAATATAATATAGAATTATACTTGCCTAATTAGTATTTTTACTATTATAGATCTAATAGAAGATATAGATCCGATATTAAACTAGATATTAACTTGATCTTTAGTAGTTTTATTAAGTTAGATACTACTATTAGTCTATTATAAAGCTTGAAATTAGTTAGAACTAGTAGTTGAGAATCTAGAGGCTCTAGTATTAATTACAATTCTATAAAAGTAGTAAGTATTATATTTTAATATATTATTAATTATAAATGTCTAAATATCTTTTATTTATTTAATAGGCTCTAAAGTATAGTTTTTACCTATTATCTAGTATATAAAAGAAAGAGATATAAGGTTATTTATAAAGATATTAATTATAAGAATAATAGAAATAGAGG